ACATCAGGACAGAAAACTTCACCCAGACAGTCTATGCTATTGACTTTCTCTTGGGTAAGTTTGGGTAGTAGCATCAACTTTAAACACTTCATGACTCCATTACGTTTGTTGTATTGAAAGAACAATATTTGAATGGACAGTTCAGTCATTGGTCCTTCTTTCATTGTTGTCATATTTCTCATGGAATGAACGATGGTGACCAACCAATTTGCTTTTGGGCCTACTTTTCTCTATTACCTGGCAGACTGCCAGTGAGTGACAGCATCCCAGTGATCGCTCTTTCAGGAAGTTTGTGTTTTTCTTTCCCACCTTTTGTGTTTCTGGTATGCTGACAGGGTCACAACTTTTTAATTTTAATTTTTACAGGAGTTTTTTGTTTTCGAGTTTAGTAGTGTTTTTGATCATTGGGGGGTGAAAAGTAGCATTTCATGGCATTTTATGAATTTAACTTAATCTTTAAGTAGTATTTCTTATGTTCTTCTGTGCCATATTAATGCTTTAACTAAATCACTTTGAGAGATTATTTTTGTGTTAAAGAGTTTTATCAAGGTCAACAATTTTTTACTCTTCTGGTGTTGAAAGTTACCATATGATCATCATGGGGAGAGCTTCTGGGGATCAGCTCAATCAATGTTAATGTTCTCCTCATAAAGAAACTGACGAATATGAGCTTCCTACCATAATTACTTCAGTGTCTTGTGTTTCAAAAGGACTCACAGCTCAGACCCTGAGTCCACTCATATGAACCGAATGTGTCCCATCGGGTCACTCAGCAGACTAATGAGACTTGATGGGCTTGTGGTGTTGGACATCATGGCTTTCTGCGGCTTAAAGCTCTGACTTGTGTATTTGCAGTCCCGAAGCTATTACCCTAAGTAATTATATACACACCAGTCCACTGAGTGACCCACCAATGCCTGAATTAAAGCCGATGGATAAACCACGGCAGAGTAAGAAAATAAAATGACTAAGAAATGTTACATACCAAATGCCTTGGCCAGCAAAACCAGGACACAAATCTCACTCAACTCTTTGGAAAGGGCGTTCTCTTGGTTTGTTTATATAAATGTAGGCTATGTAGACTTTATTCTGTGCAGATATGGTAGGATTTAATGTAATGGACATTTAAGTTATGCATGGATAAAAAGCCTTTAATCCATAAATATATATTCCAGCTCTTCTTATTGTAAGTATTACATTAAACATTACATTTCCGAGTCCCTCTTACCGAACAGTAATGGTCAAATTTGAATTCCTTCCAGTACAAAATGTGATATTCATGCTGAAATGCATGAGCTGCTCATGATCCCTTACCAGCCTTTGACAGAGCTAGACATTTTATATTTTTATAGCTTTAAAAGGTCTATCAGGGCAAATAGTCTGAGCTGTTCAGAGGTGTAGAGCCTCGCAAATTTTCTCCCATCATCCAGCCATAACATTACACCATGGCCACAGCTGCTGTGTCGCCGCTGATCTGTCCCCAAGAAACATGATCCTGTTTATAATCTGACCATCATTTGGGCGCAGACTGCCTGTGACGCCAGACCCCATGATTTACCCTAGTGTGCACGTCTGTGTGTGTGTGTGTGTGTGTGTGTGTGTGTGTCTCACACAGATAGATTTACGATGAGGGTGTACTGTATGAGGGTGAGGGTTAGGTCTTGAGGGACTTAAAGTATCTCACAATACATGTCTTGAAGTCCTGTAAGTACCAGTATTTCCTCCATTCCAGCAACATGTGTAGGAAACCTTCATGTTGGTGCAACAAATATGTTTTTTTTAATGTCTGTAAATAAGGTTATATTAGAAAAGGCAGGTTAAAAATGTCTTGTCTGTTAAGAGCTTGTGCAAAGGTAGTTGAAAGACCTTGCAGGTTGAATTCAGTATGAAGTGTTTTGCTGTGGAGTAAAAGTCCCAAAGGCACCTTTTATTGTAAGTGTTTCTTGGAAATGCATTCTGATGCAAACACAGTTATTAGTTTGTGTTTCCCATTTGGGAAAAGAAGGCAGGCAATTAAAATTGAATAACTTTTATTGAACGTCTGACTTGCAACAGATTTTCTTTTATGATCTTTCTCAGTTTAAATCTCAAAGTGAAATATTCAGTGACAGTAATTTACAAATGGACAGATGCATATAAATGCACCCCATAGCCCAATGCAGTGTTTTTTTTCATGACATTAAACACAAAATAGATTAACTGAGGTGTCCCATAATTTTTTTTTATATATCATATAATCACAAGATTAACAACATTGAATTTACTTAGTTTTTCATTTCTTCTCTAATATATTTTGCAGTTTGATAATGTCAGCCGTTTTATTGGTCCAGGTCAAGTTTTAACACGACTGAGAAATCTTGGGGTGCTTCACAAGGTTTTCATGTGGACGTGTGATGTGGTCACAGTAAAACACAGGCTTTTCTTGAGCATTTAATTCTAATTAAAACATTTTCTTGTAAAAACTTCAACAGGATAAGTTGTTGAAGACAATTTGTAATCAAAAGGAAACTATAGAAAACTTCCTTTCAACACAAGTGCTCTTGCCACTTGGCCATGTGGGGTTTAAGTTTTACAGTTATTCAACGTTTTAAGACCATACATGGATAAACTTCCTTTTATAAAGACATTTAGAGTATACTGAAAGTCTGTTTGCTTCAGAGAAATTGTGCAGCTATTTACACTAAAATGTCATGAATACTCCGGCTACCGTGCATCACATTCTCCAAACTTCACAACAGTATCTCCATGTGTGTAATGCAATGTTAGTGATATATATCATAGTTATTTACATAGCAGACATATATGATCCCCCACTGCAGCCACTGTGTGCTGTCACTTACAGTATCTGTCATACACGTTAAGACCCATGATGACACACATGTTCATGCAAACTCACAGCCCTGCAGCAGTCACTTTTTTGTTCATGGCTTTTGATGTGTGAGCAATTCATATCAATCATGCACCCTACTGCAACAGTTCCAAGAATACGTCTCCATATAGCAAAAGCCAGGCATCACATATGAGCACAGTTAAACAAACATGGCGTTCTGTATCATTTGTCATGTCATTTATGTTTCGTCTAAGTATGTACCCAGGTCATAAAGTCTTACACTCAGCTGGAAGAGGTGCTGTTCTGATTCAGTGGCTTTAAGCTTCGGCTTAAACATATTTTTGAAAACACAGGCAGTATGTGTAGATTTTATTTAAATATCTTTGCACAGTTACAGTAACACAAGCGAAAGTGAAATGAAAGCAACAGAAGTCCTGCTTCCTAACATTTCTACTGAAGACACTTTTGCAATCTATATCCTTTCATCCTGCACTTAAACAAGAAGTTGCAGTGAGAGTTTCCAGCTTAAAATAAAAAGAGGGCTGAGGTTTATCTACCTGCTTTATTATTTTTATGAATTGTATTATTATTAGTGTTATTTGTATTTATTGTATGTAGGCTACATGTTACTGGTTTACCTTAAACACTAGGTTGCATCTTGTTTTTGCAATAAGCAGGGCTCCAGAGTGCGACCAATTTTTAAGAGCGAGCGACCTGAGTGACCTAACTGAAACGGAAAAAGAAAATAAACGCGACAAAACGAGGGAAAATGAAGAGAGGTAGAAACATTGAAAGTTTTTTCATTAAGAAAACTAAGCCTACTGTTACAACCAGCCCTACTACTGTCATTCCATCCATCCCCACTACTGAGAGTCCATCCAGCCAAGACGCGGAGCCCTCGGTCCTCACATCCAGACTAAGTGTAGGTTGCAGACTGTTGAGCCTGATGATAGACTTATATTACCTCTGGTTATTGTAAAAACAGTAAATTAAAATGAATAATAACTGATTTTAATTTTTAGGTCACCCAGAGGTGAACGTGTTGTGTTGATCACCTAAAAGTTTCAGCGAGACATCACTTCTAAATGCAGTAGCCTGCTGTTGCGCCTTTATCACCGACTTTCATCAGACCGTAAAAATATAACTATTACTGAACATTTAATTCTTATCCAAAAACGATATCACGCACAGGCTGTCCAATCATACAGAGGTCTGCTGGTTTAACCTTGGAGCAGCGCTAGAATGCTTCCTCGAATTGCCCACGGAGATGGCACAGATTCATGCGCATAAAAAGTCAGTGACAGAGTTAGATTACGATATTGCGGACACGTCGAAGAACGGACTGCCAGACTCATATCAAAAGTCGTTGTGGAAGAACGTGCACTCCACACTGAGCTGATCAGACTGCAGTGTGCAACGCTGAAGGATAAATTGAAGTCTGTTGGTTTGGAAACATGTTATCATTTTATAATGCCTACTACTAAAATATCCGAAGATGACTTAGGTCTTTGCGTCAAAGACACTCTGTGTGTTTGTGACAACTTATTCATGTGAGGAGGTTTGATCTATAATAAACCTTAACGAGTGCGAACTGTGCTGTGGCCTGACACACACAGATCTAAAGTCTCTATATATATTTCCATGTGCCAACATGCAGTTTGCAATGACAGAGTTAACCCCTCTGCTTAATGTACTTTGACATTTTATGTGTTAACATGCAGTTTTCTATACAAGTACCTTTTTTTTGTCTTTTTTTTTTAATCATACATAAGCCTATATATCCATGTGTTGAGTTATAGTGATGTCTGCAAAATTAGTCGGCCCACTTGAGGTTTAATTTGAACAAACACCTTATTCTTGTTCAAAAATCATTCACATTATATGAAACTTATGGAGAGCGATAAAAAGGTGACTTATGGCGTTAAAGGCGACACAATGAAAAATTTGCACCTAAATTTTGTGCTGGTGCACCTGAAAAAAGAAAGTTAGTCTGGAGCCCTGATAAGCAATCATTTTTGTGCCATCTCAGGAAGATACATGTTTGTATGTAAATCACTTGAAAACACATCTTTGGCTCTGTTTTAGAGCATAGGTCTGGTGTTGAGGTAAACCTTTTTTGTGGAAAACAATTACTTAGTTTTGTCTAAAATACTGCCTTTTCTATTTTCAGGAAAGTGTGTCCTCCTGCAACAGATCAGTAAGAAGTGCAGCTCAATATGAATACAGGTATTCACACAAAGACACACATGGATGGGCACATACACACAAAACACATGTTGTATATTGTGTACCTTTGATCCTTTATGATTAAATGTCAATATGATTACAAATAAGACCAGCAAGCTATTACAACTCTGCTATACAGACTAGTTTTTAACTGAATATACTTGATTAAAAAAAATAATACACAGGGCTATAACTTCAGGGCTTCAGCTTTATTCAACACACACACATGTGTTCAGTGAGCCAAATTACAGCCACAACCACTGCTTTTCAGCAGGTAAGGTTATTCCCATGGGTCACATTACTCAAAAACATTAACGGGAGGGCATACAACTAACAGAACAGTCTGTTACAATGCACCGTGTCAGCCGTGACCAGTAGAAGTAATGTCTGGAAGTACTCTGACAAAAAAAGCTAACAACAACTTGTAGTGTGTAATGCTGCATATCATAGAAATTCTAGTTTGATGCTTAAAGGGATGGTTCTGTATTTTTTAAGTAGGGTTTTATGGGGTACTTGTCAATGGGCCCATTTAAGGAGAGAGTGCAGGTATGGAAGCTAGGCTATACGGCTTTACTGCCGGAGTTGTTGTCTGCCTGAAGGCGCACTGATCAGCCGTTTTATTCTGCATGTACTGTTCAGGATTGACGGCAGTGGCCTGTCTTTTTCATACTTTAGAGCTCTGTGTTGTTTTATTCTCTATATTTATAAAGTTTATGCCCAACTAATAAACCTTGGTCACATTATCATCAGTTGTCATTTCATTCAGATAGTGGGATTTAAAGACAGCTGTCCTACAGACACACAGTTCTTATGAGCACATATTTTTTTTTATGTTGAAAATATATAACTAGTGAGTAAACGAGAGTCCTCGTTGATAAGGTAATGAGAGTACTCAAATAATAAAGTCTAATCAGGGTTCCCACCCGTCCTCGAAAACCTGGAAAGCAGTTGACTAATTTCCAGTACGGGAAAAAACCTGAAAAATCTGATAAAAAGTCAAATGTCCTGGAAAATCACGTGTTGTCCTGGAAAATTATTCCAACACTCTCCTACAGGGTTGGACATTTTCACCGCCACGCGTTAATAAAAGTAGCTATTTGTTACATAATCCACAACGCAGATTGAATGGAAGTTTATAGATAATGTAATGGCTCCACCTCCCCCTCGTGTCAAAAGCTGATATTTATTTACAATTTAGTTGAGAGGATGGAGGTAGACTTGTGTTTTCTCCTTGGTTTGAGGTCAGCACATTAACAGTAGTTACTTAACGTTATTGATGACGTGCTAGCTTGCACTGAATCTTCCTCTCTAGATGGTTTTTCTTACTAACCTAGCTGCTGTCTCACTTCCAGGCCTATGACTTTGTGCCTGACAAAAGTGATAGTGAAATACAACTATTTCATACGTTTGATATATGCCAATTGGCAATGTTTATAAACTGCAGATTGGAAAAGATAGCCGCGTCACATGTGAAAAAATGCGTTCATATGCACAATGAATAGGTACCCAACTGTGTGAGTCAAACATGGGCTGAATACTGGCTAACCTTTTACTTTGCTAGCCTTGTCTCTTCAAATGCAAAACTGTGTTTTAAGGGTAAAAAATGGACCATAACATGATGTTAAATGTTTAACCTTTGAAGCGGTAGCTCACAGTGGATGTGATTAGCCTTGTTAAAGACTACACTTAATATTGGTGTGGCACGATCACGGACTGCTATACCAGCTCGATCATCACTGAAAATGTCCTGGAAAAGTCCTCGAAAATGATCTCTGGAAAAGAGTGGGAACCCTGGTAATGCCAACCCTTCACTCCTACTAGGGTGTCATTTTTATTCAATTTTTTTTTAAAGTGACAGCACTAATTCCTACCCTGTTTCACCATATTGGTGTCAGTCCTTTTCAGCTTGGTTATTGTGACTGAAAGCAACACTAGTATAGTAAAAGCCTTTATGCTTTTAACAACAGTGACGTATTCCTCTGGAATACATGTTCAAGCTGACTCAGACTTGGCAGTGATCCCGAGCTAAAATGCCTATTACGGCTGGAAAATCAATGATGAGTTATCCGTCTTTGGACCTTCTCCATACACCAACAGTCAGTGTCAGTCAATGGTAGCCTAACTCATCTTAGTTGTTTGCCTGTATTTACAATGTGCAACATTGAAGACAACATAGAAATAGATGTGCCACATGCTGCAGATAGTACAGCCAGAGTTAGGTTTGTATTTGTAGCGTCATGGCTCATCCAACGTAAAAGGATCTTCTTTTTAAGTATACTGTATCTGACAGAAATGTTTAGGCTAGTGAAGCTGATGCAATACAGTCCTCAATATAAAGCATTTTTGGATGAAACCTTGAAAGCATGTGCTTTGCCTCAAATTATTTTTGTTTTGCTTCTGCTGGATGCATTTTTGTGTGCATGTGTATTCATCTCTTTTTTTGTATATACATGTGCATGTGTGCTGCTGCTGCCTCTATGATCACCTGCCTGGCTTGGATTTCTCAGATAGCGGAGGAACCGCTCGGCATAGCGTGGCCTTGTCACTCGTTCTCTCTCCCATGAAGAGAGTCCAGAGCTCACCAAATCTAGGAACAGGTACTAACACTACAAAAACTACAAATTAACGCATGTTGAAATAGGAGGAGTTATATACACAGTAACTAAAAATCGAGGCCATGCTAGGTATTAACTAGACTAACATCAAATTTTGAGGTAAGTCTTTAACCAAGTGGCTTTTATTGATTTCCAGAATCATGTTTGGGTTTTATCGTCCTGATATGGCTTGAGCATATTTGAAAAAATTCAAATATTTAGGCTGTGGCTTCATCAGTATGCTTTAGCAATCTTTGGAATGTGGGATGCTATATATATTTTGTTACGCTTTTATTTCCTTCCTTTCCTTCCTTGTGTGTGTCTCAGGCTTGCTTTTGCTTCTTAACTCAGTCATGATTCATTCAATCCAACATGTTGTTGATGTTATTTTCCTGTCCTTTGACAGCTCGAATATGCCACACTCTCACACTCCTCCACTTCATGTCTCCTCTTTGTGGGTTGTTTATTCCACCTTTCCTGTTGCCTTAAGTGATTTAATCACTGTTCCTTCCACCTCTTGTTACTCTTTCGTCTTTGACAGAGTAGTTTGGTTGGACATGGCACAAATCCAGTTCACACATAGCTCTTAGATAATGCTGAAATATGCTTGATGGGCCTTTGTTTAAATTGAAACTACAACATTCTGCCTAACTCTTCCTTAGTTTCATGTACACAGTATTGAAGTAGATCTTCTATCTGTATGCCTTTTTATGCTTAAGTTGTCAACTTCTTTTCATCACACATAACTTGACAAGCTAAGTAAAACTGTAGAATTGAAGAGCTTTTAACATAGCTTCCAGAGGATACAGCTGGTCCTCTGCTGAAAGCGCAGTGTTTGTGTCTGAAGCTTGACAGCATCCAAGATAACAGCTGCAGCCATGTAGGCATTCCAGCTCTGTCAGCTTCCTTTTAACCATAGTTAGTCACTGAGATAGAAGGTTTATGAGCATGGTGAAACTGCTTGGCCATGAGAGCATTTTTGCGAAGAAGACCAACAGACATCATGAGAGGATGGAGTGGGATGCAGTCAGCACTAGCAGCTCTATACGGTTCACTGACCATTTCTAATGAGTCAATTGCTTTACTTGTAGTTTGTTCTCAATTTTTTTTTTCTGTTCTCTGAGCCATCCCAGCTTGAAGTATCTTCACAGGTGACACTAGAAATATTTAATTAAATGAAAATAGCTTAGCAGACGTGCAAAAAAATGCATGAAAATAAATCTGTAAAGATTACCTTTGGTGCCCATTATGGAAGAATTCCGCTCAAAGCTGATTAAATCGAGGCGATGGCCTAGCTGTCAGGTCGCGCCCCTTGTACAGAGGCCATAGTCTCTTCTGCATGTCATTCCCTACTCTCTCTCTCCCAGTTTTCTACTCTATCCATAGTCCTGAAAAGCCATAAAATAAATCTTTAAATGAAAAAAAAAGTATGCTTTTATGCATTGTAGTCGCCACTAGGGATTCATGGAAATGAGAATTTGTACAAAACAACACTGAATGTAAATAACAACAGCATACAGAAATAATTTCAATTGCTGGTTTAGTTCATGGAGCAGGTGCCCCATGTACAGAGGCCAAAATCCTCATTGAACTGGTTTTAGGTTCAACTCCCAGTCCTGACCTTTTTGCTGCATGTCATCCCCTGCTCTCCTCAAATTTCCTGTCTATCTTCAGCTGTCCTATCAAATAAAGGTTAAAAGCCCCCCAAAAATCATTGGACCTTCATTTATAATCACGTATTGGTTTGCCTGTGAATTAATTGAGTTTGTATGCCTTCAAAAAGTTGGCAGGAAAGCTTTATTGATTGGAATTATTGGGAAGTGGGAAATCTATAAACTACTGGAGACAGTGAGATCATTATTAGCGTAACTGTACCAAACTTCTAGTTTGGAGCACTAGGTTCAGAGTGATAAAGTAAACATCTTAGTACAAAAGGTGATATTGTGTATCACATAATAAGTCAAGCAGTCGTTAATAAAGAACTGTTCTGTGCTTTTGCCCATTCAGTTTGTGTCTTTTCAAACCAGTGTCTACACCGTCCATCCCCAAGTCCCTGTGTTTCTCACTAACATTCTCCCAAGGTTTTTGGGAGACAACAACTACTGTAGATCATATCTTTGGTAGTATTAACACTAGTGCTGCTGGGATACAATTACTCTTTCAGTCATGTTACTTATTACTACTGTTTCTCCTCTGTTCCTTAGGGAGTGATTCTCACTCATCAGATTTGGGTAAGTCTCTGTTCCTTTTATGATTTCAGATGAAATACCCAACACTGCACATAAAAAATAATGAAGCTATGAAATGTTATAAAATGATCAATGAGTGATGTTAAGTTTATTAACTTCATCTTCAGATTCTTGGCGGTCACGCAGTGTAACAGATGGCCTGAAGAATGGAGATGCTGGCAGCTCATCTCTTGCTGCTAAAGGCTTCCGCAGTGTCAGACCCAACCTACAGGAAAAAAAGGCAACAACACAGGTAAGATTTATCTTAAAACAACTCTCCCAGATGTTCTGCTTTACTGGTACGTTAAGTAAAAAAAAAAAGTATTTGTCTGTGTAAAAATGATATCATTAAAGACATCACAAACCATTATTATTATTGATAATAACACAGAACCATACTACATTTCTAAGCTCATATGGAAACAACCTGATGATTTGTGTTAAGCTTTGCTCTGATTTTTGTTGTTCTTGTCGCTTGAACTTGTGTTGGCTGTTGCTTTCATTTGGCCATTAAGGATATGAATCACGTGCCATTACCACCCCCAAGGAGAGAGAGTTTCCACTTCTCACCCACTGGCGCTAATCCTCTAGACTACGACTCCCTCGTTTCCCTGGCTAAAGATCTTAGTCCTGGAATGCTAACATTCACACAGAATGAGAAGGCAATTTTAAAAGAGTCCTACACTGTTAGCAGCACAGCTTCTTACTCTTACTCAGAGAACAGTTCAAACACAGTCCAAGAGGAACACCAGTCCACTGTTTCAAATGATACCAGCAGCTGTAGTGCATCTGCTTCTGCTAACACACAGGCCCAGGAACGTAAGGTCTCTTCCCTCAAATTAACTCCTGTAACCATCCCTGACCCCCCGGCTCACCTCAACTCTGACAACAACCCACAAACTAAGACCACTGGTTCCCCACCAACCACTTCCCCACCTCCACAAAAGGGTCCTACCCTGTCTCCACCTCAAACACAGACAGCCTCACTTTCTGTCAGTTTGGGCCTTGAGAATCTGAAACATCCAGAAACTCAGCCTTCAAGCAACACAATGGAACCCAAGGTCCAAGATCAAGCCCCTAATCGGATCCCTGGAACAGCTCCATCCCATTCCAAGGTGGAAATGACGAAGGCTCCTCCTGCAGTTCCACCAAGGCCCTCTGCTGCAGAACTGTTGGTACATAACTGACAACATACTAAAACTAGAAGATACTACCGACATAAAAGAGAGAAATGTTTTTGGTGTTTTGAGGCAACTAAAATGTGCAAAATCAGACATGTGTTCATTAAGCCAAGGGTGTGTAGCCTGAAAAAAAAGAAAGAAATGGATACAAAGGTGTTATTTGTTATATGGTCCTGTGTGTGTTGCAGTGTGAGTTGTGTTTGCTTTGGTGCTGCCATCCAACCAACCAAACTAATTGTGATTCTACATTATGTGTGATCTCCTTCTGTATGTGTGATAACCAACCATTTAATTTATTTTATGTATACCATGTCACTGTCTATGTACTGTATATGCTGCCTTTGAACTAACAGAGCCTCTTAATTCACAGCATTAATCATTTTTCAGATGATGATGATTCTGCAGCCTCATGAAACATAGAGCAGCATTTCTTCTTCAGTTAAGCTCACGTGTTGCACATCCTTTAAGACAACATTGCTATTGAGTGATGTCACTGAGAACTCTTCCTCCTTTTTTTTTCAATCAACTCCCTCTCCTTTCAACACCAGGGGCCACCCTCCCCTGATCCCATGGCACGACACTCCCAATTTCGCTGCCACAGCTCAGAATCACTCGACTACCCATCAAGCTTAATGCCCAAGGCTCTGTCACCCACCCCGTACGTTCCTAGCGGAGCCGGCAGCACAGCCGGCACGGTGAGCAGGCCAAGCTTTGCCACAGCCAGCACTGGTGGCTTTGTGTCACCCTCTGCCTCACCTGTCACCGTGTCAGCTCTCAGCCACTACTCGTCATCCACGGTGGGTCTGCTGGACGAGTTGCAGATCTGTAGCCTGGACTCACCTGGCGCCTCACCCACACCATCACCCACCCTCAGCCACGTCTCCACCTACACATCCACTGCTGGCCCTGATGATGTGCTAACAACCTCTGTGGCCTCCAACACTGCGGCAGCAGCCACTGTCACTAATGTAATTATCCCAACTAGTCACTGCTGTAACACTTTTCATTAACAAAAACAAAAGGTGACCTCCTGCTCCCACTTATTCTGATGGCTGAATCAAACCTTCAAAAACTGTGTTTTATGTCCAATTTTTACCTTTCACTAACATCTACAATAACCTTTTAAATACCCAAATTACACTAAATCCCCTTTGTTTCTGTATAATGTCAATGTGTCTGTACTCATCAGAACTTTGTCTTTATGTATCTGTCTTTGTTTCTCTTTGTTTTCCCTTCTGGTATCCAGTTAAATTAGTGCATTTATACTGTCTTTTAAAGGCTAGTTCATATCAGAATTCATGATGATGTAAAACCATCTTTTGAGAAGTTATGGGGTTATGGAAGTTCTCCAGCAGCAGGTGGAGTGATTTTATAATTGAACATGCAACAGACTGCAGTTATGTTTCATTTCGCTCATTACATTGCCACAAGCACCAGTGTCCCCTGTTACAAAGAGTTTGAAATTGAAAATAAATTATACTCACATTGAAATTCGTTATTAGTCTGACCTTGGCTTCTCATTAGTAAAACCATTAGCTTGTTCTCCATCATGTCAATCAAAGTTACTTTACTTCTGTTCACTCCGGAACTTGTGGCTCATAACAAGTGGCTCATGGCTCATAAGTGCAGCCGATTGGAAACTCACTACATGGTCTTGTTCTATCAGAGAAGCAGTGATCAACCTTAGTGCCATTTACAGAACTGTTGATTGGTCTGCCTGTCTAACAAAGAAAATATTCTTTCATATACCAAACTTTAGAAACACTAAACAAATTTAAGATCACAGATCGAGGACTCTGTTATATTTTGTTTGTGGTGGTTAACTGTGTCCTTAAAATCACAGTAGCAGCAGCAGTAATCTGACTATTTTTTGTCTACATAGGATGCGTGTTGGTAGCCGGTGTTGTGGCAGCCCTCGGAGCCCAACATAGAAGGACTTTAATTATGCTTTTAAATAGAAAAAAAGACTTTATGTGGGCAGTGTAGATGACCAGATTGTTCAAAATAGAAGCAATAAAAGCTTCCTGGGCTGTAAAATGAGGCCAATGCAGAAATGCAAAGTTCAACCCAGAGGTAAACTGGACATGATGGACGTTCTGAAAGACATTTTGCATCTCATCTGAAAGGCTCTTTATGTTTTTATCATGACAGGGATGACGGGGAAACCTCAGGGATTAAATGCCCATTAAAAAAAAAAAGAAAATTCAGTACTTCAAATGTTGACTTCAGGCTTGCTCCACAAGCGAGTAATCACCTTAAACCCCCATATTATTTGTCCAAAATAAAAGGACATAAACATGTTTACATCCTGGTACAAAGAATGTTTATCCATTGTAGATTTCTCTTCAATGTCCACATTTACAGTCTATAGTTCCATCAGACAAGCGTGAGACAAGACAGCTTAAAACAAGGCTGAAATGTCTCCCGTGAAGACATGAAATAAGAACCGTCAAGAGGATATTAATGTGTTCTTTTACTCTGAGTTGATCACAGTTAAGAGTTAGCTGGCTAGGTAGTGAATTATTTTAGAACAAGCATCACCACCGTGAGCCTTCTGAGTCTTTGAAATCAATTTACTGTCTTTATCCTTTGTCAGATGAAATCCCTTGTTCCTGTTTCATGTTGAATGGGAGAGCATTCTTCAGAACAGCCTCCCATCATAACTGTATCATGTCTTCAATGTCACAACTAATTTATAATGAACTGTATGTGAATCTAAAAGAGTTGTTTGTTTCCTGTCACTGTCCTTATCTTCTGTCCGTTTTGAAGTGAAGTGATCGAATAATGCCCCTCCCACTCACTAACTGTTTCTACATTGTACAGTTAGAGTCCCCTGGTCAGCCCCAATGTCTGTCTGTACCTACATTCACTTCCACTCTATGTTGTTCTGCCCCTTTATTTGTTAGGTTTTAAGGTGATATGGTGACTAATGACAGATTTATTTATTTTACATTTTTCAATTCAACAACATTCTCCAACATAGAAAATGGAAACGTGTTCTCTTTGCTGTACAATTCGGTTTGTTGAGACCAATTATCTGAGTTTTTGACTTGTGGATCTCCTGCAGGGCCAGGTCCTCTCTCACGCGATGAATGGGAGTACGAGCCATCCACAGAGGCCTCTCTCCCCGCCGTCCTACCCTCCTCCTCCCACCTCACTTCACAGGGGGCATCTGAGACAGAGCAGGAGTTCAGGTGAGTCGCACCAGGTCTTTTTCCCTTTTATTTCTACAATTCTACAATTCACTTTCAGCTGGAAAAAAAAGTTTGAAGTTAATTATTTGAAAGAAATCTGAAAATGTAACAATCATTTTAATTAGTGAAGTCATTACATTTCAGGTACTTGTCAAATACTACTAAATACTTATACTATTTAAATGATTATAACATAGAAACACTTCAATCATAAATAATAGTCTAAAACATTCATGCACCAATAAAGTGATCTTTTTTACTTTATCTATTCGTAACAATTAAATAATGAACAGTCCTTTAGTAATGGTTTTTTCATTCATTCAATACCAGGATATGAGATGTTTCACTATACCTCTAAGTACGAGGCAGAACAATTTATCCTGTGTGAACCTAAATCGTCTTAGTGATCTGCTTGTGTCACAAGATTGGTCACACATACTAACGACGATTTTCAATTTGCATCCCATATAATCCTGCTAAATTGATTGAGCTATGAAGTCGTGCAACACAGTCAAAAACAAACAAAATGAATGAGTCCAACTAGATTCAATCTCACAACTGCCCGCATGTAAATCTCGATCACAACCTTCAGCCGTCAATTACTTATAAACCAGCCCTTCCGTCAGTTATCAATCCAAGTGTCATCACCCAGGGGTCTGTCATCATCGTAGTCAGAGCTGCACAGCATACGTACCAGCACATGTTTTTCTTCTTCTTCGGGGAAGTGTTTGAAACTGTAGTCCTTCTTGTTAACATCAAAGAGACAATAAAGTGCTGCATTTATCGTTTTTCTATGTTGAATAAAGAGTGTGGACAGGATTTCACCCACCACTGAAATGATTTCAGGGAACTGCAGCTACAATCATCATTTCTGTCCTCCTTTTAGCCTTGTAACAGTATTTTAGCTGGTGGAAAAAAAGACAAGAGGTCTTGGATGGACTGACCGTTTAACACCTTCTTTTACAAATCAGATACAAAAACAGATACAAGTCACTGTTAAAATCACAGAATTAAATCAAAGTTGATGCTCTCTTTGGAAGACAACCACAAAATAAACCAGTAAATGTTATGATATAATTAGTGCTTTTCAGCTATTTATGATGTTTGAGTTTAGATGTGTTTTTTGTATTTGTAAATACATCTTAAAATTTTCTTCTTTTCTTTCCACACCTCTTCCTCGTTGTATCTAGAGGGCAGCGAGACGGTTACCAGAGAGTCTGTAGTGTCGGGCCGCACAAGTGTATGCAGCACCGTGCCAATCGCCTGCTTCTCAGAAGAAGAGAAAAAGGTGTCTGTCATCAAAGCTCCTCATTATGAAGGGATCGGTCCTGTGGACGAGTCCGGCATCCCTATCGCCATCCGCACGGTGAGCTGAAATGAACACACGGAGCTGAACACATTAATTTCTTGCAGACTGACTCGGTTAGGTACTGTTGTGTTGCACAAGCGTGTCTTTTGGTCCATTTCTGTTGTCTTGATCTGTGATCAGGCTCACGATAGGGGATCACTTTCAGCTGTCAGCAGCCTCATAAAAATGGCTATCACTATCTGCAGTATCTCTTTTTCTCTACCTCTGTGTTCTTACAGAGATGGGCTCAGTCAAGGTCTTTTCTTTAGTACAACAAAGTCCTCCCAGCTTACTTTTCCCAACAGATCTCGCTGTGTGTTATTTCTTTGTGTATTAACAAATCACTCAGTTAACCATTTCTTGAAGAGCAGCTTTTAAAAGCCAACATATTAAACTACAGAATTAGCAAGCAAGTGGAAGTTACAGGGTGATTGAGAGACAGGCTGAGAGAAAAGGTGAAAAGAAAAAAAAAGTAGAGAGAAGAGAAACAGATGCTCCTTGTTGAGAGCAGACAAACATTTTTGTGGGCACTTTATTTGGTAACCGTGGAGAGGGATGTGGTAATTGGCCCGTCTTCTGGCCGTGTCAACGCTACATGCTCAGTCACACACACTCCTTCACTGTGGAGCCGAACCGCCTCTTCTCAGACCAGATTCCAGACACAGTGTTTAGTGCTACGGAATAAAGAGAGGATTAAGTCTCTCTGCCATTTGATAGCTCTTTTTTCAAGTGGCTGTTAGATCTGTACAGTATAAACAAAGACACAAACAAGTGTTTCTCCATCCAGAGCAGCAGGAGCTTCCGCTCTGATTTTGTATCAACATCTCTTCCCAGTCATCCCAATGTTTTCACTAAACATCCTCAAACCTAAAAGCATTATAAAATATGGCTATATAATTGTATATACTGTATTTGTTTTTACTCTGAGGATTTCAAGCTGAAATGTTGAATTTACAAACTTCCATGTGTTTTAAGCGATTGAATGCATGCTTTAGTTTTTCATTTCGTTGTTGCTAAGTTGTGAAAATGACACTAACTGGCCTAAGAAGCATGTTAATTCTATTTTTGTATACATGCACTAACACTTATAATATAAAAAATGGTTGCATTTTTGAATGCAGCATCTTTTTTTAAAATAAATTCACAGAAAAGAAAAGTTAAAACATTTGTATACTCCCTGAAAGTGACCTAGATCCATGAAAATCAGGATATATGATGCAAAGTGTTTTTTCAATGTGTATCCATGTGTGATACAAAAATTAAACCTGACACGTAATACGCATAGATAGATGAGATTAATGGGCCTTCAGCACAGTGACACAAGATACTCTAAAAGTAATAATCATGATTATTATTTCAGCAGACATGTTATTGTGAGAGGGATAATCATGCAATCCATGAATTAATTAAACCTATTCTTATCAGCATTAACTGATCAATAGATTAAATATTCTGTTAAGAGAAATGAATAGACCCTAGCCTGGAATACGTTGAATCTTGAGAAGATTCTTTATTCCTGGGAAAGAAACGGGAAATTAAGCGATCCCATTTTTCACTGAACAACCTCAAACATTAAAGCATGATAAGCAAATGTCTTCAGATATGTCAGCAGAAGTTACATTCTCTGTGAGTGAAAATAGTTCCTTCGAAAGGCTGAGAATGTGTTTTTCTGCAAACAGTTATGTCCTGTAAAACAGATGGAGCCATTTCTATTTTCTTACCACAGCTATCCAGTTAATGTTGCATTTCACGCCACATCAATTTTTATGTTTATTTCTCCCCACAGACAGTGGATAGACCAAAGGATTGGTACAAGACTATGTTCAAACAGATCCACAAGGTTCACAAAGCAGGTAAGGTATAGTTCTGTGTCACACTGAACCAAAGAAATGTCCCTTCATCTGATGTGATTTGATCGTATGACATCATCGGCGGAATTCGGCATGCATGCATGCGTCTGTGTATCTTTGTGTGTCTGTGCGTGCCAGTTCTTGTTTAAGCGTAAGGTCCAAAGAGCCTCAGAGCCAGAACTCATTAGATGAGAGCAAGAGAGTTTGGAGAGCAGGCAGAACAGAGCGAGACCTCTAACAGACTCAGAGCTGTCCTGGGAAATCTGCTCTCATTTAGAGGGCTCCACAGAATCACACAGTCTGTACAAGGCTTGTTTGTTCATAACTGCTCAGGCTTCTGCTGCTGCAACCTTCAATTACACACACACACCCGCGCACAAGCAGACACACACACACACACACACACACATGGGCAATCGCTGTTTTGTGACTTTATTTTCCTAAAATTCGTCATTTTGATGGCTTCTGGAGTATTCCCATGGCTTTTTAAATGTTCACACATTCACAGTGAAATCACTTTATCTGATGAGTCCAAAAATGGTTTATTGAAAAACATTTGTTTGAAACACGCTGAGCTTGTAGATGAACAGAGAGGAATTGGTTTATTTATGCTGCTTGGCTGGTTTTGATGTTTCTCTATGCTGCACAAAAGTCACTATTGGAAATGACTTTGTAACTGCCAGAACTAAGCTGACTAAAGAGGCTGATATCACTGGAGAGAAAATACAACTTGTATTCTCTGTGCCAAGCAGTTCTGACATGTCAATATTAACTCTTTACTCCCATTTTTATTTCTTCTTCCAGATGATGACTATTCTGACACGTACAATGCCACATATGCTGTCATCAACAATGGTAAGACATTATAAATATATAAATAGATGTCTTTCATACAATAAGTTATTCTATGAGCCTCTACCTGTCTGTCTCCCGTCTCCTCTCCTGAACAGATGACTACAATCTGTCATCCAGCACCGCCATGGCCCACCCTGCACCCAGGACACACACATACAGGCCGCTCGCCAAAAGTCCCTCAGACAACGGAGGGCATCTAGGACCTCGAGAGCCTTCCCCATCCCCCATACCCCCACCTCCTCCACCCATGCCATCTCTCCTCCAACTGAGAGCAAGGGACAGTGACCGCGACAAAGATTCACCCGACTCGTAAGAGGAGCTTCCCCTTTTATTTAACGATCAATAACACAATAAACTGACACTCAATTAATATTGTCCAAAAAAAAAGCACTTAACCGGATGAATTATGAAATGATTCAAAACTTGTGTTTGCTCATACACATTCTGAGTCTCCTGAAATTGTATTGATATTGTAAGGTGCTTAAGATGTGCTTAATAAATGTACTTTATTCATTAATTAACATTTCAATGGAAAATGTGTTTCTTTGTCTTTCATCAGGAATGAGTGGGGACCGCCTAACAGGAAAGTGGACACACGAAAGTACCGTGCAGAGCCCAAGAGTATTTTTGAGTATGAGCCTGGAAAGTCCTCGATTTTGGAGCATGAAAGACCAGTAAGTATATGAAACCTTTATTTCATTTTAATCTGATGAATTGTGACTTTTTCCTGCCCACTTTTTCTTTCATGTTTGATCAACCTTTGAGGCCTGCAGGTGCTGATCTAGAACCTGCTCAGGCCGTAATTATTATTCTTTACTTAATTTATTGGCCCTGATAGCTGCTTTTCTAGCTGTATTAAAACCAGCTTCTCTGGGAGAATATTTATATTACTGTGAATGTGGAGTGACTAATTCTGCTATTGGTGTATTTACACTTGATAAAGATTAGCTTTAATGCTGTTCTTCTTCAATTTGGTGCTTATTAAAGGACAACTTCTGAAGAGGTAAACAGGTAAAGGTAAAGAAATAAGAGTGCAGAGAATGACTTGGATTGCAATAAAGTAATGAGGTGCATGCATGGAGAAAAGTGCTACAAACACATGAAGCTTTCTTATCTGCTCGTCATAGTAGACACTGTTTTGTGGTAGAGTCTCACTTTGTGGGCTTTTGCTTGGACTCCTTTTCATCAGACAGTGTGGGCGTTAAAAAAGCGAAGGTTTCCAGCGCTGCATCCTCTAGTGACGGTGCCGGCTATTCACTCTGTGTGGGGTGAATGACATAGTGGATAGCAGCAGAGATAATTAACATGTAGACAGAAGGAAAAAATAGACATGAGGCATAAGAGGTACTGACAAGATAATGGATAAAAGATAATGGATGAGGAGTCCATTTTAGAGGACTAGATTTAGTTTAAAAGGTTTTTTGTGAAGGTTTTTCAGATGTTTAATGTGATGACTGCAGCATGCTCTCCCTTGGCAATAATGCATGAGTCAATTCCTGATAAGGCAATAAAGGAGAGAGCCGTAGAGAGTAGCTGTAAAGCTGCACTGGCTCATCTGCTGTTCTTAAAGCATTCTGTTTTCTATGCAGTCGTTTTTTTTGTTTTGTCTTCAAGGTAAGACATGGCATCTGTTTAGTGGAGAAGTGTCTGTTCACTCACAAGCCATAGCAACAAAACTGTATTTCTGGCACTCTGTTTCTTAAGTTTCTTTTGTGTGTGTTTGTGTGTGCGTGCACACAGTATTCCTGATGAACTGTCTCTGCTGTAGGCTTCACCTTTTTTTCACAGGCTGACTCATTTGTCTCAGAGCTGAATTCTCTTTTTAGCAGAAGAGTTGAAATCACAGCAACACCTACCAAACATTTCCTGGCAGTGTTCTCACTTGGCATGAAAACTCCAGCTCCATGTGGAAAGAGGGTTGGAAAGAGCAGACAGAGTAGTAAAACAGTCTAAAACGAAAAGCGCTAAAACTCTTAGAAAATTACTACGGCTGTTGAATGCAGTGCACCCTGAAGTAAGCAAATTGAAACAAATAGAGAAAGCTGTACTTGTTAGAGTTTTGACATTAAAACAGGAATAAAGGGTAAATGATTAACTTTCTGCATAGCTGTCATCATTGTTTGGGATTTCCTCGCTGAATGTAAATACTTATATCACATCTGCCACAGGTTATTGAAGGTCAATTTGATATGGAATATTCTCTTCTGTCATACAAAGACAGAACTGAGTGGTAGAATCCATCATGTGACAGCAGCAGAGATACACTCTTGCTCCATTTCAGCAATTTCACTGATCAGCATGACATGCGAGCAAAATAGTGGAGGATACACAGCATTTATTTTAAGTCAGGAACATTCAGCATATGCTAAGAACATAACAGACTGTTGGTGAAAAGCCTCAATACAAAATATATCTATCAGTTCTACTTTCTAAATCTAGAATTTTTCAGATTGTAAAAGCTTTGTTTGATGGCAAGACATGTTTGGTTGTGAAGTAAATTTGATTCAAAGTGAAATTCATAATGCAATAGAGAACATGTGGTTTATTTCTTAGTTTAACCTGTTTTATTATTCAGGTAATTTATTAACTACTCCATCGCTCATAAAAACAGTCAGTGTGGTGTCACAGAATATTGACTTTTAAGGTGATTTTCAGTTGCAGTATGGCAGAATGTGGTACTTGTGTCAGTGATAATATAATGCTTACGATAATGTTACGGTGAATTTGACTGTGAATAACCCTGTTTTGGTTTCAGAATGGTTATAAACATGAGCTCCTCTCTCTTCTTTTTAATATAATGAGTTCATATATGGTGAGAATTTAGTATGTCTTTAATTTAGGCTGCACAAAGGTGCAGTTTATGATATGTAAAGCTTACATTAACGAGCTGATTGTCAATCAAAATGAATCTGTCATTTCAATTTGCAGCCATTACATTGTATTCATATAAGATTAAGAAATATCAGTTCAAAAGGTTTATTTCTGTCTGATGTTACAGCTCTATTCTGTGTAACTCTCAAACCAGTTAAACTGATACAACTAAAGCTTCTCTTAATAAAAAGGTTTAGCATCCCTCTTTTCATACCCATGAGCCAGTCTATATCTTCATCCTGGTTCGTCCTGTGCTCATCTCCCTGTGCTACATGAGCCCTTTCCTAACCATGAGCTCCATGTCTCTCTCTCTGTGTGTGTGTGTGTGTGTGACTTCTCTCCACACTTCCTGCCTTCTGTCTTTCTTCTACCTCCTCTTTCTTTCACTGTCATGCTTTCCCAGACCTATGATGACATAGATTTAGAGAACGAGCCTTGGTATAAGTTCTTTTCCGAGCTGGAGTTTGGGCGGCCGGTAAGTCAGGGCCATTATATATAGCTGCACCCTCAACCACAACCCCGCTGTAGGCATAAACCCACTTTATCCACCCCACCCATGACTTTCTTTTTTACTGTCTCTACCAATAGCCTGGGTGGGGCTAGTTGTTTGGGCATGTGGTACTTGTTGGGTGCTGTGACCCCTCCCCCCACCGCTGTGACAGGCTGTGTTATGTTGTTGTGATGGTGTTTTTGTTTTTTTAGTGGTGTGGTGGCTAGCTGGCGGTGATATTTTCACAAACAAAAATAGGACTTTTATTGCATCTTGCAAGACAGAAGGTAAAAAGGCAGGATTTTATTGATGAACAGTCTATCAATTCTAACTTTGATCAAAATAAAGTACTTGCTTAAAAAAAAGTTTATTTTCTGTATAATACAATCTGAATCTTTGCAGGTTCTTTAGTATCACATGCTAACACATGTATTAAAAAGACAGCCTTTAATAAATTACATATTTGAATTTGCTCATTTATTAATTTCTGTTATTTTTTGTTTATTTGTACTTATGTTTGAGGATCTATCTCAAAGCTGAACTTGTGTATTTGAGGAGTCCTCAAAGCTAAATTCATCAGCGCCACCTGCTGGATGTTGGTGTTTATAACACCCTAGAGGCTCAGAGATGAGATTGCCCCTAGCCACAGATCTGGGATCACATAACCCCAAACCTAATTGATTTACATAGAGTCATTAGGTCATGCCTCTGTGCATGACAGAGCATGAGGTTTTTTTTTGGGTTGGCTTATTCAAAATGTTCAGGTGAAAATGTCACATCTGGAGCTTGCATGACTTTTAGAGTCATGTAAGGCTGTGTGTTGAGATTCCAACCTGCAATATTTCAAATGTTTCACTACACTGAATAAGCCCTTAGAGTGTAGATGGTTTGTGTAAATGCACTGACTGGTCCAGTTGGGAAAGAAGAAGCTCACAGTGTGTTCAGTGTTTGAATGTTACAAAGTGTTTGGAGCAACTGAGTGAACACTAGTTTTAAAACCAGCACTAAATCACAGTATTTGAGAGTGCACTGTGAAACACACTATACTCTCAAATACACACACTCTCTGGCTTGTGCTTCACTTGGCTTTATTTGCTTCACAGCTTGCTTTCTCACTCTGCATGTGTGTGTGTGTGTGTGTGTGTGTGTGTGTGTGTGTGTGTGTGTGTGTGTGTGTGTGTGTTTGTCTAGTATCAAGATAGATGTAGTAGGTCTTATGTATTTAAGAATTGACATAATGTTGTTTAAATCTTAACATAAAGGCGTAACATAATATAAAGCATCATTATTTAACTTTGTGCTATTGAATGATTGTGTTTTATGTGTGTGAGTGTGTGTGTTTGTCAGTTAGAGACTGTCAGCGTGTAGAGTGTGTGCACATGCAATGCACATGTGCAACGTTTGTGATCTAGTCCATCTCTGGTAACTCGGATTCTCTAACGAGTGTCACTCTCTCCACCTTTGTTCTTGTTTGTCGGTTTCTCCCCATGACGTCCCCACTTCCTTACCTCCTCCTTCACCTCATTCTCACCTTCCTTCTCTTCCTCCTTCTCCTCATACTGCTCACTGCTGCTGCTTTGGGCTCAAGCCTCCTAAAAAACGACTGGATTATAATCCAGACATCTCCGCTCGCCAGCGCATTGAGGTAATCTCACATACATGAGTGTTCCAGTTGTGTTGTTAATCTCACTGTTTTTTTTTTAACCATTGATCAAAATCAGAACATAGCATTATGAATATGGAGGATGTGATTGGTTTAAATGAGTATAAATGTATTAAACACCAGTTTGAGGAAGTCTTCTGGCAACATGTCTGCCATCCACTGCTGAGTTTATGGTGTTGCTTTTTGAAGTCTGTCGGACATGTAGATTTAAAATCTGATGGTTGTATCATATACATTGAATTTTTCATATTCACTGACTGCTGACCTAATTTTTATCAATGAATCATAGGAATCTGCAGGCTTTTTTTTCGGGGTGAAATATATATATATTTGTTGTCCATATTGTGTAAAGCATTTGTTAGTACCCTTCAGCAGAGAAACTTTTTTTTGCAAGTGCATCCAAGTCAATTTTACCACTAGGACCCATTCCAGCTGATCCATGCCAGGTTTTGTCGGGCAACATTTTCCCCCTGAGCTCACAACATCCTTGTTGTGCTATATCACCCATCACCTTGTTCTTCAGAGCAGCCGAAGAGAGAGCAGAAATTTATCCTGACTGTTTGCACCAGTGCGCCTCCTCTCAGTCAGGTGTGCCATGTGGAACCAGCATCCATTGCACCTTACGCTGGGGGAGGGATTTGAGTGTGGCACAGCTACAAGCGCATGCAAGCTGTGCATTGTGAGTAGCTCTGCGTCAAGTCTTTGTTCTTGCGGATCTCACTTTTCCCTTTCGTTGTCTGCCCTATTTCAGACTTCCCTGCACATCGCCCCTGCTGACAAGGCTCCGGAGAGACCTGCGAGGTAACCTCTGTTTCTTTTATTTTCCTCTGCACCACCCCCGTCCTTTCAGCATCAGCAGTCCTTGTTGTGATTCAGCACGGAATCAGAGCTGCTCTTTCTTGTCCGGCCTCTGGTGCAAATAGCCTCTGTGTCTGCTTTTAATGATAACTTACAAGGATTAGTGTTGGTCTTTATTTTCTTTTGTCACTGAAGGCAGGGATCTTTGCCTCTCCTTAATCTAACTGAGCCAGAATAAATTACCCAGCAACCTACTGATTCTGCCCTTCACCTCCTATCCCTCACTCAACCCCCCTCTTCCTTCCCTCGTCCCAGGCCCTTTCACCAATGGCCTGCTTATTCAGTCGCATTTTCTTTGGTGAAAAGAGAGGGCAGAAATGGGATGTGATGAATAGGCTAAGTCATTCATGTCAGTGACATTAAGTGGGTTACTTTTCCATAGAAAGCCAGTTGGTTTTAGTAGATCATAGAAAGAACAACTCCAAGGCACTCTCTTCTAACAATTAAATTAAAATAAAATAAAGGTATTTAAATTGTTGAAAAGCGTGCCTTTGAGTTTTCTTTGACTGCTTGCATTCCCTATACAAAGAGCTCCTTAAAACCGACACTTTTTTGAGTCCAGCTAGCGCTCCTTTCTACATTTTCTGGTTTTAGTAGGTATTTTAGAAAAAAGAGAAGTTACTGTAACTCTGTTGTCTCATCTTAGTTGTTATTCTTTGAAGGATGCGCATGGATATTCCTAACTTAACTTTGCACTTATATGTCTCAAGGGGAAATTCAGCTTTATACTTAATTTTGAGACATACTGCTCACATTCATATTCTGTACCTTAAATGCACAAACAGGACCTTTAGACGTGCATTAGTGAAGAGATGTCAGACATAGGGACACTCCTCAGCTGTTTTGGGTTTAGTGCCTTGCTCAAGGACACCTCTTCAGTAATCAGGAAGTGAATTAGCACCTCACAAGCAACCAAACCAAATTCCATTCTTTGGTCTGTACCTGAACTTGAGCCAGCTTGCCGCGGGTTCCCAACCCAAGTCCCTATACGGACTGAGCTACTAACACCCCCACACCCTGCCCCTATCAATTCACTAATATTACCAAGACTTTTGATATTTTCTCAATACATAAATAACCATGGAAACCACAGTCTAAGTCTGACAAGAAAATCCTGCAACACAAACAGAGATCTTCGTATCGTTTATTTGCTACATCAGTACAAGAAAAGACTAAAAATGTTGCTGTAGCTGATAGGAAATTTAATATTTCACTTTTATTTGATATATTTTGAACTATTCTTACACAGGGAACCTAGTAATACAAGGTTGTCAAAAGATGTTTCTGGTACAAAATCTACTGTAAAATTCCTCAAACTACACTATCCAAAAAGGAATACATATAACATATACTTTTAGTACCTATTGGTGGGGCCAAAAAATAAATAGTATATGGTTGTATTTGTTCAAAGAAGACAAAATACATCAAGCGTCTCGATTCTCAATGTGTTTGCATTCTGCAAACATCATCTTACTTTTCAAAATCAAACTTTCACGGTAGATCACTTGTATTCCCTTGTTTTTTTTTTAGTAGTATACAATCCCCAGTAGCATTCTGAAAACACTTATTGAAGTTGAACTGTGTTGCAGTGCCGCCAGCGATTACAGGAAGAGAAGGAAGTCAGAGCCGTCCAGTTCTCAAGTGAATGCTCAATCTCAGAGCAGAGCTACAACTTCCCCTAAACCTGTGGATGCCTACAGACCCAGCAGCAGCCTCAAAAAACCTGTGGTTCGTTCCTCACCATCCTCACCATCCAGAGCCAAAGGTAAACACACATGTATACGAACATCTCCTTTTCACTTAATATATTTTTTTTCTTTTTGTGTCTTCGTATTTCTCTTTTCACTTCTTTTCAGAGAAACAAAGAAGATTTTTTTTCATTTGTTTTGTTTATCACAATGTGATGTCTGTCTGGTATGGTCATAAGTTTCACAAGGTTCTCTTGATTATGCTGAAGTCTGAGCAAAAATCATCAAATCATCTTTTTTCCCTGCCCTCTTTTCTCTTCTATTTGTTCTTCCAATACCCTTCTCTTCCATCTTTGGTCTTGATATTTCTGCTTAACAAGCTTTCTTCCTTCTCTTTCACCACGCTGCTCTTTATTGGACATCTGAAAGGTGGGGACGCATGCAACATGTATTCGAACAGTTTGACCTCACCAGGTCCTTGTCAGCCTCCCTGTCCTCCCCCTCTCCCCTCTGGCCTTGCTCATTCCCATGAAGATACCAGCCAGGAAGGCAGTTCTTCCTCCAAGCAGTCTGTCTGTTTCCAAAACAGTTGGCAGACAAAAAGCCAGGATCCAGAGACATGGAGCAGCGTGGAGGAGGTACAGCCCTCCCCTCGCAAACTCAAGTCACGTAGCTGTGATGACTTACTAAATGATGGCCATACTGGCTCAGATGGGCGCAAAGCCAACCGCTCGGAAAGTGCTGGATCACTGGTTTGTGATGGGAGTCCCTCAGGTTCAACTGGCTCCAACTCCAACAACTCATTGCCCCGCCCCCAGCGGCGACGGGCGCATGATTCACCAGGCTTTCTCCAGCTCTATCGTAAAATGCACCAGATCGACCGTGCGCAGATCATCCCATCTGATGTGATTCGCTCTGTCCGTGCTCGCATCCTGGAACTGGAGCGCCAACCCCACCGGCATCGCCTCTCTCCTTGGACACTATCTTGGGGCGTTGAGGTGCCACGTGATACGGTGCCAAACCGCATTTCTGAATATGAGCGCCTTATTAAGAAGTCCAAATCCATGCCAAACTTGGGTGACAGTGAGATGCCTTCAGGCACCACCACGCCAGGTGGCTCATCATCTCGAGCCAGCAGTGGTGGTGGTGGTGGAACACCTAGTTTTCCCAAACGTCGCTTTTCCATAGAATCTTTATTAGAGGAAGATAACAATTGCAATGGTGGAACAGGGCCTCACACCATGGATCACTTGCATCGGCCTCGCAGCCCACCTGAGGGCCAGCCTCGTGTTGGGCCAGAGCCTGGCTGTGGGCGGTCCTTTCCTGCTCCTCCTGTTCCTCAAGGCCCACAGGCAAACCCTGACTACTCTGACAGCGAACAAGATGCTGTTGCCTCAGACCTCAGTGACTTCATACAGGTGGAGGGTTCCTCATTTTGCAGTGAGAGTGACTTTGACCACTGCTCTCTAACCTCCTCCGAAAGCTTGTACGGCTCTTCCACCCTCCAACACCATCACCACCTCCGTCATCACCACCACCATCACCATCACCACCCTGGTCACCAAAGTCTAGGCCAGGGCCAAGGTTACCAACACCGCCACCTCATTAGCACCTGCAAAGGCCGCTGCCCAGCCTCTTATACCCGTTTTACCACCATGCTTCGTCATGAGAGAGAACGAGCACGCCAGGATAACCAGAGACCTTCACATCAGAGCCGCAGCAGCCATTCACAAATCCAGAGCTCACAGTCCCAGCAAGCAATGTCAAAGCTGGCTTTCCTCGTCAGCCCAGTGCCTTTCCGTCGGAAAAAGGGCTCACCACCTACCTCAAGAAGAAGCAGTGGTGGCGGAGATCGAGGTAGCCGACCCAAGTCCAAACAGGCCATTTATGAAGCACTAGATGCAGCCTTGAGAGACATTTATGAGCACATCCAAACAGAGAGAGGCCACAGAGGGGCCAGGGCACCTGATGGTAGCATCCTGAAGAGAATACTGGCCGAATTGCTCCCAAATGTGCCTGAACGGAGCTCCTCCTTGCGTGGGAGGAGGGGGTGTTGGCATGGTGGTCACTCCTCTACATCTTTGTACCCAGATGGCAGCCCCACTGGGTACGCCTCGCATAAAGGGGATCCCTCCACACCTCAGCTACAGTCACCACGGCTACAGTCACCAATCAGTGCCTGTTATGGACGCCACGAAGACACCTCAAACAATAATGAATATGGAGAGGAGCAGGGCAATGGGAATGGTCTCTGTTATTCAGGTGGAGATAATACACATAACACACTTCACATGCACATGTGCACTACAGAGGTTTCTTTTCTACATAATACACATGTAAACATACAGTATACATACTCATAAGAATCCATATACTGTACACTCTCAAAGTTAGTGCTTGTTGCCCTATTCCCTTCATTTGCCTGTTAAGACATCAATTACCGTTTTGTTTTTTTGGTTTAAAAAAACAGAATGCTTTTAATATAAAACATTGCATTAGCAGCACCTTAATCCTGATAAAAGCAGTTAAAAGTGATAACATTTACAAAATAAATGAGATGGCCTGGTAGGATTATTTGTGGGTTCACAGTATAAAACTCTGGGAAGAGAAAATAAATGTGTGTTTTTCCTTTGTTTTTCATTTGTTTGGCTTGTATCATTTGTCTGTTTTGTAGAATTTATTTCCGAAGTCATTTAAATATTCCACAATCATCTTTTCCCTTCCGCCATTTGCTTGTGTGTTGACTGGTTTTTGATAAGTTCTATCATAATATTGGACTGTATTCCTCCTAGTTTCATTTATGTTACAGCTTGTTTCACAGGTTTGCATGTGTCATATTGTGGGAGTCCCGAAAACCTTGTTTTTTTTATGTGATGTTGAAATAAAACACCAATTCTTGACCCAAGTTTTCATTCCCTCATTTACCTGTTGGAATGGCATTATCACTTTACCATTCTTCATTGTCCCAGAGATCATTTATGTATTTTGAGCATGCATGTGAAAGAAAATTGTGTTTACTATTGTGACTATTTTTATGTGTCTCTGCTAATCATAGACCAGGATGTGTCCAGGAGCTATTCCACTATGGATGGGCGCCACACCCCTCAGAGTAGAAGACCTACTCCTGACAGAGAGGTACAACATGAAAGCAGCAGTAAATAATGCTAATAGCTCATCGTTTATCCTTAAATAAATTAAATTGAACACTCCTTTTCATAGCATACATTAAAGTGCATCTATAAAAAAAAGTCTGACATTGGTTGGCACTGTAAATATGTTTCCACTTGAACAGATACAATAACACCACTGCACAGCTGATTTTTAAAAAGTTGTTTTGAAGTTTTGCCTGGTAATGCTTGCTGGCATTTTTTCTTTTTCTTCTCTTCACTCTCATCTCCCAGGTCTCCCATAAACAGATGACACAACTTATTCTGTTCTCTCTCCTCCATCAGAAACAGCCTGCAAGAGCCATTTATGATTTTAAGGCACAAACAGATAAGTGAGTACAGTAAATGCACCGTGCACGCACAGGGAGGCCAAGCATGACATGTCTAACTGCGTTTGAACACATCTCGACTCATTGCATTCTGTGTCATGTTTCCAGAGTCTAAGATATCTCTAAATCAAGTCTCTTGGTAACTTCACTGTCACATCTCACCACCGCACTTGGAAAGCTCTAACTGATTAATGTCATGGGTTCTGGATAAATGCATGAATAAAACTGATCTACGTTGGTCTTGATCTTATTTCATCTCGCTTCAGTGGCTGTCGTTCTTTAGCTGACGCTGTTTACATCCAATGTGCTCTGCTGGCTGTAGTGGTCTCTTCATATCTTCCTCACACCATATTGCATGCACTTTGATTGCATAAATGTTTTGCAGGGAGCTGACATTCAAGAAGGGTGATGCAGTGAACATCATCCGCCAGATAGACAACAACTGGTACGAAGGAGAGCACCGTGGACGGGTTGGCATTTTCCCCATGTCATATGTGGAAGTAAGTTGTGCAACTCATGATCCGTGTGTGCGTGAGTGCAGTAAATATTTGAGCATTTGATGTGCAGTATGTAATTTCTCTCTCTGATTTCACTGCCTGTTCAACACATAAACAGAAGATGCCGTCCACAGAGAAGCAGCAGCCGATTCGTCCTCCTCCGCCAGCACATGTCAGAGAGATCGGAGAAGGGGTAGCTCGCTACAACTTCAATGCTGACACTAATGTGGAGCTGTCTCTCAGAAAGGTAGCCTGTATGTATGTTTATAATATTGTGATGAACATTACATTTCTTGCAGAGACTTTGGACCTGAATATTTTAAGTATTGAACCAACACAAAGATGCAGTGTTATCTTACATATAAGAAAAAAACAAGTTATCATTCAGAAGTAAATAAAAATCACCTGTAACTACGTTCCAAAGATTTAAGATGTTTAGACTTAAACCATTGGATGAATTTCTTATTTTGTAATCATAATTAAAAGGGGTTGAGTTCTGTTCAGTACAACACTCTTGTATGGCATTTTATAATAGTGTGTATACTTTGGGTGTCTGTAGGGGGAGAGAGTAATAGTGTTAAGGCAGGTGGATCAGAACTGGTATGAAGGCAAGATCCCGGACACAACCAAACAGGGCATCTTTCCTGTCTCGTACGTGGACATCGTCAAGCGTTCCCCTAGCAAGAGCTCCACCCACCACATCGACCCACGTGGTTATTCTGGCAACAGGACACCGAGCTCTACACCTATCAAGGTAACGGAATTATTAAAGCATTGCAGCAACAGAATACAACAAACCGTTAAAAAAGAAATACAAATTTATACCCAAAAGTTTTGAAAGAATTGATCTATAAATATTTGTGGGGTCATTTCTCCATTGGTGGAGAGTAATGTTGGGACATTTGAATTCCTCAGTCACATTTATAAGAAAAGATTTTAGTTAAATTGAATTAGTAGTGACATGTGAATTTACTTTTATAAATAAGTACATCATCAGTTTAAGGGTGTACACAGCTTTTACACTGTTTAACTCTCTGTTCCAGTTTTATAAATCACACTCTGCCTTCTTTTTCACTTAACTTCCTGGAGCCTTTCTACCATCCACCTCCATCCTCCACTACTCGTGACCTCCTCTCTCCTCAGCCCTCAGTGAGAAGGCATGACTTAAAAGCAGTCACCAATGAGTGGCTGTCCCTTACAATGGAATCTTCGACGTCTACTCCAACTCACTCGCTCCCGAGCACCCCCATACCGCCCACACCACCCCCACTCCCCATAGACCTGGCACCTTTCCTAAAGACTCAGGAGCCCAAGTCACCCTCACCTGCTCCGTTGCAAAGAGACTTTGCCCTCTTGCCCCAGATGTTTTCCAAGACTCCTCCTTTTAGAGAAGGGAGACCTGGTTTAGGTCACACTTCTGCTGCCTCGCTGATTTCTCAACCAACACTCCCATTTCCTCCTCCTCCTCCACCTCCTCCTCTTCCTCCCCACCTTCCCCTTCCTCGTTCCTCATTTATCTCTCCACTGCCTGACTCTTCACTAAAATACAACAGCGGAAAAGGAATAGACCAATCAGTGCACACTTCTAAGCCAGAGGTTTTTTCCTGCACAGTGCCAGAACCATTCAAATCCACCACACAGGCTCCTCCGAGGTCCAGTTTAAAATTGCAAGAAAATCAAAGCAGCAAAATCCTTGATTCTAATCTGCATGTAAAAGACCCATATGATGATCTCTTGTTGATGATTCTTGATGACTTTACCAGTACAGATAATACTGACAATTCAAGATTATCTGCTGTAGTTTCCCCTTCATCTTCACTAAACAGTAAATCACAGAGCAAGTTTAAGCTAAAAACAGAAGAGCCCGATCAGCCAGCAGTGAAACCCCCAGCAGACACTACAGCAACTGATTCAGCAGGCAGCATTCGGTTAGAGGCACAGTTTCCCAAGCCTGTTACAATGGAGTCGCTTTCCCTCAGCTTGGAACATCAGTTAAAAACTCTAAACGAAAGAGCAGGCGAGTCGCAAAGACCATCATCGGGGAAAGGAAGGGGATTTACTGAGTTGTTCATTGAGGAAGACGATGAAACTAGAGAGGACAAAGAGGAGGACATTAATGAGAGACTCAGTCCACAGGTAGAGCATGGTGTGAGCTGCATCTGTTGACCCTATGGGGCCCTGGAAGGGAGATGGAGGGACACTGTTTACATTTTAATCAAAGTTTGATTACCATACATCGTAGGGTCTTGTGAGTGAATCTGCCATTCACACACCTCGTCTAAGGATAACTGCTGCTCTGCCAGAAGCAGGCTGATGTTAGGATGTGTGGTCATTACAGTTTTGAGTACAATGTAGTGAAATAAATCTGTGCTTAAGTGCATCACTGTACCTCCTGATGATAATCTGGCACTCGCACTTCCTTTGTTTCATTCACTTATTTTTATGGATCCATGCAAAATGTCTCATAGTTCCTACTGCTCAAGAACAAGCAAACTATTTGTCGAAGTTCTTTTTAGACTCAAAAGTAGGTCTTTTTTTTTCTTCTTCCATGTTTAATGTATTCCTCCACGTCCTCCCAGGGCTCTGTAAAACAGCACATTTTTGCCATCAGAAAGATTCCTTTCTTAGCATGTAGCCTCTGATTGATTTAGCATCATAATTGTTTGTATGCCATTTCCTTCATAGGCTGATGTTTCTTCTTCTTTGACACCACTTCCTGACCCAAGCCTCCCCTCAACATCCACACCACCTCCTCCTCCAACTTCATTACCTCCCCCTCCTACTTCTTCTTCTTCATCTTTTGCTGTCGCTCCTTTTTCTTCTTCTTCTTCTGCTGTCACTCCATTTTCTTCTGCTGTCACTCCTTTTTCTTCTTCTGCTGTCAGTCCTTTTTCTTCTTCTGCTGTCACTCCTTTTTCTTCTTCTGCTGTCACTCCTTTTTCTTCTTCTGCTGTCACTCCTTCTGCTGTTACTCCATTTTCTTCTTCAGCTCTCACTCCTTCTTCAGCTGTCACTCCTTCTTCTGCTGTCACTCATTTTTCTTCTTCCTCCCATTCACAAGGACAGGATCGTATCACCGTCCCTCCCTCTCCCCCTGTCTCCCCTCGACCCTCCCTCCCTCGCCTAATGACATCACCACTACCTCCAGTCTCTCCCTCTCCACCCGTCTCACCACCTCCCATCCACTCCTCTCTGCCCTCTCCAAATGTTCCCTCACAGCGCTCTGTTTCGAGATCTCCCTGTCCTTCTCATCCCATCACATCCTACCCTGACTCAGATTCACCTATTCCCTTCCCCGCCCTGCCTCACCCTAAACCTCCCTCTCCTCCTCTTACCACCCCACGCTCTCCCCCAACTCCTCCCACTGTACCCTATCATGGACGTAGGTCTCCCAAGGTGAAGGTAAAGCTGGAATGTGAAGATAATGGCTTTGAGTTAGATTAGGTGTGTGGTGCCAAGGGTTATAGCAAGAACTCATCTGAAAATAACCTTCTCTCCTTTCTGTCACTGATAAACTGGGACAATGTTTGAACTGATAACAGACAATAGCATTAATCCTTTGTGTTCTTTGTGTTGGAAAAATGCCATGACAGTTGAATTATTGTATTAATCAAAGTTAATGGACTAGATGTTGGCTTGTTTTTTGGACTAACAAGAGTTTGAAGAAGTAAGGGGCTCAAAAAATAATGTTTGGCTTTTTTCATCATTATATCAACTTTGTACAGTGTTGATACCAGTTTGTAAATAAGAAGTTGGAGTTCTTGCTGAGACTACTTTAGCTTTCTTTGTTCACTAACATGCATTGCACTATATCTAGTAAGTGCTCTGTGGAGATTTATATTTTCATCCTGACCATTGTGATACAATTATCAAATTTCCACAAACATATTTTCCTGCCAGTTTTAACTGGCTGCATAGCTGCTTCATGACTCCTCATGGTGACGCTTATGACATGACGGAGAGTTGTGAAAGAAAAAAGTGTCCCGGAGATATAAGAAGAAGGAGACAGCAGGATGTTGTTGGACAGCAGTGGCAAGAAGAAGCTAATTCACCAAATTGCAGCGATTAAATACATGAGTCCTTAACTAACCTTTCTTAGGAGCATTTTCTGTTCTTCACCTAATCAGATATTATGATGCATCATCATATGATTGACTTGCAATATGTCAGTTATCCTAGAATCACCGATTTTGATTTCATCATTATCGTGGGCTGATTATTGCATATAATATTCTAATATGAGTGACCTGCTGTGATTCCCACCTCTAGTTGTTCTTGTTGATGTTTGAGGTGTGCTGAGGAGGGTTTTTCTTGGCATGTTGAAGGATGGTGTTTTACAGCATGTCGTTGTAAGCCTTTGTGCTCATGTGTGTTCAGCTCATGTTAGTCTGCTGATTAGTCACAGTTGAAGGTTATCGCTGTGTTGCCTCTGGTCTTTCTGCCTGTTAAGCAGGATCCAGTTGTTGGTGGTAAACCTCCTCGTAGCCCCATCTTGTCCCGGAGGTCCTACATGTCCCACATTAGAGGTCGAAGGGTAGGAGGGCATGTCAACTACACCATTTATGATCTGATCAACACATTCAGAAGTATCATATCTTTCAGAAACAGAGTCATTTTCTTTTAAGGAAAGGATGAATCGTAGCATTTTGCTGAATCTCTGAACTTTAGCTTGGTTTATTCTCCTTTTTGTTGTCAAAGTAATTTAAAATCAACAGGGTAAGATAAATGTTTTCATTCGTTAAAGAGAAGCCTCATGAGTGCAACATACTGACTTTTTGTCTGTCTGTTTTTGTTTTCTCTTTCTCACAGCGATTAGTACAGGATGCACTCCAAGGTGGAGGAGATCCGTAAGTGAAGTGTTATTATTCAAATTTTCTATTTGCCTTGATTTTGAGTTATTCAACAAAATAATAAAAGCTTTAATAAACAGAAGGATGACCAATGTATAGAATGTCTGCAGAAACTGTAATCAACAAATACATGCAATCAAATAATTGAGAATATTCTGAATAAATTCTGAGAAGCAGTCATATGAGACAATAACTATCATGACAGTAAATGTTTCTTTTAAATTTTGGAGAGGTGTAGGATGACCTTTTTTTATTTCCTACACAGGTACCAGGCCGTGTACAACTACTCGCCTCGCAACGAGGATGAGCTGGAGCTGAGGGAGGGCGACATCGTGGACGTGATGGAGAAGTGTGATGACGGCTGGTTTGTTGGTAAGATGAAGTTTTTAATACATGGTGATCATCATCTTAAAGAAAATATAGCGAACATGCTGGTTTCAATGTTTTATTTTTAAACATTGGCGCACAAAATGTAAATGAGGCAACGAAAGGATTGACAGAAAATTGATGAAAGTTACTCTTAACTGTCTTCACATCTATGTTGAAAACTTCATCAGAAATATAAGAACCAGTCGTACTGGTCAATAATGCTCAAACATACAAATCCTTTGTAGAACTTGAGAAGCTTGAATTATCAATGCCAAGAACAAAAGTACAGTAACTAACTTTTTATGGTAATAATAATATACTTTGTTTAAGGGAGCATTTCGGGACACTCAATCTCACCACACAGATACAATAACAATCAAAACAGCTCACTATATGCTGTTAAAACTAGGAGAAAGGGGCATGGTCACAATGAATAAACTGTTCTAAAAAGGTGGCTTATGAGGTGAGGTTTGAGAGTAGAGAGAGTCAGTGTCAGGTATCTCTTGAGGGAGTTCCAGAGATGGGGAGCTGCACGGCTGAAAGCACAAAACCTGATATATGTTAAGTAGTGAGAGAGGTTTAGAGGTTACGGAGAGACTTGAAGGTAAAAGGGAGAATCTTGAAATCAATGTGATATGATGAAGCAAATGCGGAAGTGCAAATTCTCAAGGGCCGCTTGAGGCCACATAGGTGGGCGCGATGTATCGGTTTGTCATTAGGCTTAAAACCCGCCTCAGGCTCCAGCCTGTCGTTAGGTTGACTGAGAGTCAGGTGGAGAGAGGATTTCCAGCATGACGGCTGCTGAGCCTCTGGAGCCCCCCTGCCGTAACAGAAGGGTGACGTCACTGCAGGCTTCATCCATTTATTTTTACAGTCTATGATTATTTGACTTGGAGCCAGTGAAATCATAAAGCTAAACAACCATCAGCTACCTCATTCAAGTAGTCTACTTAAGTCTTCTCATTTCAAGCTTCATTTACACACAAAGGTGCCACGTGATCATTTAAGTGAAACTAATGCAATGTAATAAAACAGTCCTGCAATAAAACTTATTTTCTTTAGGGTTTAATGTTCAGCTTTTAAAAGAGTGTTGATTCGACTTTGTTTGTCTCTTATTTAGCCTCTGTTCCTTTAATGGGATGGAAGTATTGATAGAAACACTTTTCTGTGCAATGCAGTAATTGAGTTCTTCTTTACACCATGTGATGTGTCTATTAAACAAACAAATAGAATGGAAGAAGCAATTATCGTAACCCAACAATGTTCACTCTGCACTAATGATTTAAATAGTTTGTACTGTTTTTAAAGGTTTCATGGTCTGGTTGTGTGCTTCTTTTCAAGTATCAACAAACTGAACCACTAGATGGTGCTGTGGTCTCACCACATCTGTTTAACATGCCTGTTAAAGAAGCCAACATTATCCTACACTGAGCACAATTTAAACCTGTTTCCCATTTTAATCTTCAGTGTCTAGGTTTTACATTCTCTTATGAAATCGTTTGCTCCCTTACGATGTTTTCATGTGTTTTAGTTTGATATAACTCCAGCCCTGCAGTAAAATTAGTTACAGTTAATACTGATGCCAAGTTTGAGAATTTAAAACAATAACCTTTTTTTTTAATTATTTGATTGCTCTTTGTTTTTAAAGGGACCTCCCGGAGGAGCAAGTTGTTTGGAACCTTCCCAGGAAACTACGTGAAGCAGCTATAATGACAATTCCAGACTCCCCCTCCTGCCCACCGCCCCACTCTGTGACACTTCACCATCTGCACAGCACCCGCAGGACACCACCTCCCAACGCTGAGCCCCCGAGGCCCGTCACACGTTTGTGTGTTTGCGTGTATGTGTGGCTGTCCAGCTTCACACAAACCGAACATTTAGCTCTAACTAGCCATCTTTAATGGAAGACTTGTATGGAATAATACTGTTTTTTTTAACCGTATCTTCTAGTCCTTATTTTTCTATCAAGGAGAATCCAAACTTTGTGCTCCAGTGAGTGACCTTTAACTTCTGACAGTTAAGGAAAGAAATCAAAGCAACTTTGCAAACACTCACTGACAGAAAAAAGGGCACCACAGCAATGCTTTTTCTTTTTCTTTTTTTTTTAAAGGGCAGTAACCATGATCTTTTTTTTTCCTGCACATTCAAAATCACTTGTTACATTTCATTCAGTGTTCAATCATAAATATCCCCAAAGACATTCAGTGCAGAGTGATGCAAAAACAGTATTCTGTCAGCAGGTCTGTTATATATGAACTGTATTGAAGAGATTTCAGGTACAAGGATGATAGTTACATGTGGAAAAGATGCTCATGCATCAATTTGATGTGTTAATCAAGGTATTAATATGTTGAATTTGGGGATAGAGTTCATACATCTATTATTATGAAGCAATTATTTTAAATATTACAAATGAGTTGGTGGGAAAAACATCACTGACACTCTGTTGATCATGTTCAAACCCACACATTAGATTAGAAACATATAAGATTACAAAAAAGCATATTTTTGAAATTGTTGGTTCTTCATCTTCACTCTAAGAATGATGCACTTTAACTTTAACACAGTTTTGTGTTTGATTGATCTCAGATTACACAACAGTTCCATGTGGCTTTGAGGGTTTAGAGGTTCGGTCATGTTTGAAAAGTGTATGCAACTATATTGCCAACCTTTTAGGTATTATATTTATTAGGGGACAAATGCAGGTCGAAATGAAGATTTAAGAAAGGATGGAACAAACCTTTTTTCTCTTTTTTTTTTTTTTACTTCTTTTAACAGCAGCAGAATAACATTGGAAGGATTGTTATTTTATTAATCATCATTGTCCAGACAAGTTAGATGTTTCATGGGTCATATTTATGCCAGGTGTCATGATGTTTTATAAGTCAGGTGTAGGATGAAACGGCTTTTTATCAAACGTTTTTTTCTTTTTTTGCGGACTTTGAAGGCATCTTATAACCATGTTGTCAGAGAGTGTATCACTGTTTCATGTAGTTATATACTCTTAGGACTTAGTGACTATTTCCATGTTCTCTTGTCATGTTCAGTCAATATTTGAATGAATTTGCGTTTTATATGTTCTCATTTGACATGTTTCACATAGGATGGACACTGACAACAAAAACTATTGTTGAAGCACCTTAAGATATAATTTGATTTCTCATTCACGCATCATTCGTCACACCCTGTCATCCACTGTTTGAGCTGAAGTGTGAACACTGTGTGTGCTTGTGCGTGTGTGTGTGTGTTTTGTAAGTCTTTTGTATGAGAGCTGTAAAATGGCAAACATCCACTTTGCTTTATAAAATCAGCTTTTTTCTCACCCACCATCACATTTTGGTTTCCTTTCTTTCTTCACATTCTTCACCAGTGGTGCTACTTTCCACAACTTTTAGCTGTAGCCCGGCATGTAGGCCTTCTCTTCTCCAGTTTGTTTGTTGTTTTTAAGAGCCAGTGACGTATTCAAACTGGTCTTACTGTAGGTAGAGTGAGTCGGGTTATGGATCGCTGCCTTACATCCAACTCACAAAGTTTATAGCCATGTATATGTAAACCTCTTTTGTGATTTCCAAAAAATAATTTATGCATAAATAGAGTAGAAAACATCAGGAAGGTGTGCACAGAAATGATCACAGACAGCGTCGAGACAAACTTTGATACAATTTTAAGGGCAGATTTGGATTGGAGACATGAATTTAGATCCTGATATGTTTATACATGTAATGAAAATGTTAACCGTTATGTTATTCATGTTAATATCAAATTCAATGCACACTCTCGGACCTTAGTATTTCTACAATATCTTAGCATTTGTTGGATGGTTTTATGGGGCTGTATTGCTAATAAAATCCAGTTGGTAGATTAATTAGTCAACATTATTTGTTCCTGAATACAAAAAACACTAAAATATAATTCATGATGTTTAAATTTACACTGCAGAGTTTGTGACATTTTCCTACCATGATGTTTTTCTGTGTGGAGGTGAGCAGACACATTGAATGTCCTTGCAATTTCACACACTTCCACATGTGGACAGATGATGGCGGTATAGAGCACTTCAGGGAGGTAATGTGTCGATTCAAAAAAGGGGAAACAGAGAAAGGCTCTCAAGGTGAATTGTACTTGCAGGCTGAAATTCTTGGAAACAAAGACGTCTCATTTATGAATATGTAAAATACAGACATGCATCCTTCCATTTTATTTACACTCTTTTTCCCCAAGATAACGAGTCATTTATTTGTGTTTTCTAATTTCTAGACCTACTTATGTCGTTATCTCAACATGGTTTTCCTGTGATAAGTTAATTTGAGTTGTTTCCTAAACCCTTTTTTTTCTAAACAACAAAGATTGTTTTCTCGTGATAACTTTATAGAAAACAAATCAATAACACTGGTCACTGATAGGCCAGCTTAGGCGTGATGCTGTCAATGCCCGCATTATTGAGGTAAGTTAAGCCTATTTCTGTTTGTTTTGTGCTTTTGCAGTTCGGGGGAAAACGAGATAAATAAGACGAGATCTCCAGAAAACAACCCGATAATGCTCATCATTAGAGAAAATGGAGCAAAAATATATGGAGGCATGTTCGCTTAGGGCTTCCATAGTAACAGCAGTGAATCAGCTGTAGGTCTTGTTGATGCTGACCTTCAATAATCCAAAAGAAAAGATGGTGAAACATTTTATTTTTCTTTATTGCCTACACAACCCATGAACAGCCCAAAAGGGATGCAAACCTGGGCCACCCGCTTGGAGGACTACAGCCTCCATACATGGGGCGCGCGTGCACTAACCACTGTGCCACCAACGTGTTTAAGATCAGATACAATATGTAGTTCTTAGTTTTATTGACATGAAGCAAGTGTTAACTGCGGGAACCTATCCCTAACAAAAACATTTCTTATTGACGTGTTTGTAATAGTTCATCAACAGCAAGGGCAGAGAGGTTAAAGGGTAACGTGCAGGTTCAACTTTATACTAGGACTATATTAATTGTAATACCTGTCAGAAAATGGCTTTTGACAAGGGGCTAGAACATGATTTTATATGTTTGAGAAAAACATCAGGGCACAAATTTAGCAGAAAACACAAGATTCAGAAACTCTTCGATACATTCAACATCATTTCATTTAAACGGTATCATAGAAGTTGTTTCTATTGTATATGTATTTATAGAATTAAGAGATTGCAGATTGTATGTTTTCTGTGTTTAATAGATCTGCCACATCTATGTTAGTATACCGGAATTAGCTCAAATGTTAGATTTCATCCTTTAGTCTTAAGGCAGGTACTATCAAAAAGCTTCACAAACAAATTCACTTTTACAGAACACCTCACAGGACAGTCTACAGGACAGCACACAACTCACAGACAATATAACGAACTTCATGGACACGTATGCACAAAAGAAACAACAGACACACATTTAAAATGAGCCAATTAAAATGCAGGATGAGCCAGAAGCCCCCGGGAACAGACACTACTGTACATCCATACTCTTACAGGTGTTTATTGAGCATAAACATAATTTGTCATGGATTTACATTGCCATGATAACTACAAAAAAAAGACATTAACTTGAATTGTTTACTGAAAAACATTGTCAAAGCTTTCCTAAAATTATGGATTTTGTGTTCTGTTTCTTAATTTGCACATTTGGCAATTAGCTTTTTATTAACATTTCCTGAGCAAAGTGAAAGTGCTAACATAGATTGGGATGCTTGACTTTCAGTCTGTTTATAAAGTTTTTGATGAAATCAAAGAAAGAAAATGATCCTCTTCAAATGGCTCGGATAAAACACAGTTTTATCAACAAAAAACATGGTAAGGAAGTTCTTGTTGGCTGAGTCTGTCAGAGATTAAAAATAATTACAAATCAAGCCCAGTTTGTGGTATAAACACAGAAATAAGTCGATGTGCTGAGCTGTATTGTTGACAAGTTCCGGGGTAAGTAAGAGTCCTGGGACCCATTCAGATCAATAGTAGCTGGAATGTTCCTGTGGGACTTGCAGAGCCTCCAAGAGGAGCTGCGCCACCAGACCAAATAAGGAGAGGAGCAGCAGGACCCGTCAAGCAGAGCAAGATGAGGCCAGCCAGACCGTGAGCAGCTCGGGATGAGGAGCCATGAGGAGGGGGCTGGTTTATATCCTCACTCTGTCTACAAAAAGTCATAAGAGTACAAAAAGACTCTGAGCCACAGATGGATTCAAATGACTGAACACTTTGATACTTGTTCTTGAAAAGTAAAAACTGGCTTTTACTTGGAGAGAGAAATTAAAAAGTGTTCAACAGAAACTAGAGAACAAGTGCCGCAGAAAAGTCAGTGTGCAGTTCCAAAAATCGGACCAATTGTTTCACTCCTGGGGGTGGTGTCTGTCTATTCTCCTCCCCCTGCTCCCGCCCACAAGGTTCAAATCCTCCATCACTTTGATATCACTTGCTCTTTAACTGTGCTCCTCATAGTATGCAGTTTACTTTGTGTGCTGTTGTAATCTAACAACAGGGAGGGGAGACATTAAAGGGTCATGCCACTCAATGTCGTGCTGGACGGTCCGGCCCCCTGGGGGTTTCGGCTGACGGGAGGGAAGGACTTCAACCAGCCCCTGACCATCTCCAGGGTGAGTCAGAGATGAGAATTCTCTTTTAGAAGCATAAACGAAAAGTAAAGAGTGTCATTAACTAGATCAAACAAAGCCTTTCAACATATTTATAGTTTTACATCTAGTTTGAAGATCTACAATTTGACAGTGTTTGTACAGTTGCTATGGCAACTTCAAAAAAGAAAGTAGAAGTGAATGTGCCTCAGTCTGGTGAGAATTGAGTTCAACATCAGTTGAGTTTCCAGGAAAGCTTCATTCTCCAAAGACTGTGTCTGGACTCAGTGTGGTATGAGGTTTGCACCTGTGCCACGGCAAATGCAAGAGGCTTAGATACAAATAGCAGCTTACTTTGTACTCTGAAATGTGCTCTCACACACACACACACACACACACACACACACACACACACACGCGCACAAATGTCTCGAGTGGATTTGTGGTGGTGGAATTTAGGAGCTGAGTGAAGATACCACTTTATTTCAAATAAAATACATTGTAGGAAAAACAAATAAATCACAGTACAAAAAGAAAAGGAATATACTGCACCTAACTTTATTTTTTACTTAAAGCTTCTGTGAGAAACTTTTGGTTTGAGTGGATTTTGCCGCCCCCTGTGGATAAAGCGGTACGCCACCTCTCTGTGCTGACTTTGTCCTGGGCATGTCTAAGTAGTGTCTTATTATGAAACTTTAATTCTGCTGTCTTTTAACAGTAAACTATAACTTACTGTTAATCATCACATTAGACATTAGTAAACAAAGGTTATTTCTGCAGCGTACTTTAAACGCTTTGTCTGACATCTATTCCACTGTAGCAGTTTCAAGCCTAATTAAGAACAAAATAAAAATCATACATTTTCTCGCAGACGGCCTAATTTGCTTTAATAAGTCATGAAGAAGCATCCGTATTCCTTTCTGTCTGTTTCATGACCAGATAAAACTCCTCACAGGAGCTTTAATCCTTCAAATATTCAGGACATTCATGCTAACTGAGGCAACACAATGAGGATGAAGTCATCAACTATTGCAGAAGATGGTCGTAAGAGTTCCTGTGTAGGCATCTATAATAACGTTTCAGCTGTTCAGAAGCTTGTAAATGTCAGCTTAAGGTCAGGGAGCAGCATCATGCAGCTCGTCATGTTTGCAGACTGACAGCACGGGCAGAGCTGGGAGATGACAGCTTACACATGTGACACATTCAAGGAAACTCTGAGCCACCAAACTAGAGATGCTTGGGCCTCGATCAATAATTTATTCCAGGATGATGGTCTCAAAGAAAGAGAAAAGTGCAAGCTTTGAGACTTAAAACTCAGATTTTATGAATTAGTGTTTGTCTCTTGGTGAAAATGACCATTTCCTGGAGCTGATATGGTATTTCCTGTCTCTGCAAAGTACAGCAAAAACGTCTTCATCACATTTAGTTGTGACAGGGTGGTTTTTGAGATTATTTATAGAAGTTTAATGTCATTTTATGAGAGACTGTCACTTTAGGCAGCTGAGAGTTGGAAAAGCAAAGTCTGTTTTTGTACTGTATGTAGCTGGAGGTAGTGGCCAGTTATCTTAGCATAAGATTAACACCAAAAATGGAGGTTAGGAGAGAAGGGTGGGGATGGAGTAAACATAAATTCAGCATTGTTGTGCTACCACTAACTTATCAAGTTCCCTTTCAAGAGTTTTTCAATTTAAGTCCAAAAGATAAAAATGTCAAATTAATTCATTTACAAAATGCATCAAGTTTGACTCTATTTGAGGAACTTTTTTTAGCTGCCTGCTCTTGGATTAACCTTTTATTGACTCATTATCGTTCACATGTGATATTTACCTTAACTGGACGTGTTGTTTAAAATTTGTTGCAGATAGCTGGCGTTGGAATTTGTTTAATGGGACCTGGTAGGCAACATTTGCATTCAAACATGAGTTGGGCTTTTGTGTCATTGGGATCTGTTCTGACTTGTTCATGATGTCAGAAAGGTCATAAATGTAAATATTTACATGATCTGGCACAGCAGAACTGGTATCTGCCTCTTTACAGCCAGTTGCATCCAGCAATGTCATCATGTGGTGTTAAACAACGTTTGAGCACACAGGAGCTAACAACATCTCACCAACACATTAACATGTTTGATGAATGCTCTCAGACAGCAAACAATCAGCACAAAACGTCAAAGTCAGAAAATGACATTTTAAAAATCCATATAAACTTATACACAACACATTGCAGGTACATCATTGAAGGCTTACATGATAACATATCTTCACACCTTTACAGGAAAGGTCTCATAAATGTTAAAGTATGAAAGGCAAATGTCTAAAATTCTTTGTTTTTACAGTTTGAAACATTTATTTTTTGAACCCCCTCTTTCATCAAAGAGCTTTTCCAAACAGTGACGTCTTCACCAGCAGTCAGACTTTGTGTTCAGTATGCTTTGTGTCCCACAGGATCAACTGTGGAGAGACTCAGTGAACCTGCTCTGTCGTGTCTATATTTAGTGAGTGATGTCTGAGTAAGCCCACTGACTAAAGGCAACGCTAGCTGCCCAAACCGCTGCTCTGCCCAATAACCTCACACCTGTTGTGTTAGAGGACACTCAGTGGTCCACATGAGAAGAGTGATGAGAGAGGACTGGATGGACGAGCTAGCAGAGGAATCAGCGAGGGTAAATTATGTATGAGCATTACAAAAGGAGAATGTAATCTCAGTACTGAGTTTGATTTGTAAAGTTAGCTTAATACAGATACACTTTCTATTATATAACAGGAATTGTTACTGCTGAGAACCTTCAGGCTGTTGTTAAGTACAAGTGAATGCAGTGTCTCCCTCCACTGCCATTTTTGGTCAGGAACATCTTCCTGCTGGTGTCTCAGCTGCTCAAGGAAAGTAAACACAAGTGATTATCATCTGTGTCCTCAATAGACAGCAGCCTTAAAGGAGCCCAGTGCCAAATGTACACATCAGGATCAGTTTACTTGATCTTAATGAGCTGAGAGCGACAGAGCTTGTGAAAAACAGCTGTGTACTGTTTTGTTTGGCTCTTGGGGAAGTTTTTCAGGTCAAAGAGTAAAACACTGATGATGTCATCGGGTTGTCTTATGTTGAGTGTTAAATCTACACTTAAATAAAAACAAGCCTGCACTAATGCACTCATAGATACTGGCATTTAACAGGCAATAAAGGTCTAAAGGAAGACCTCTGAGATGCATTATGGGGGGAGTGGCGGCAGTAGCTCATTGGGGGCAGTGAAGAAGGACGGCGATGACATATCACATCTCTGCAGTTAAGATCAGCTGTTGTTGGATCTGAATTCTTGACATCACATCCCTTCTACTAACCAAAACACACATCCAAAATTTGGATTAAACGTCAAAGATCCCTGAGGTCGGTACAGTCCACAGAAGAACAGATTTGTGTGTCGGTTTGAAGTTTAATGACTCCCCTGTTAGTGTTTGTTAAGTTTCCTTTCGTCCTTCCTATACTCGACTCTGCTAATCTTTAGTCCACACAGCACCGCATGAGCCTCACATGTCAACAGAGCTGTCAGTCGTGTGGTACAGATGTTATACCTCAATATATAGCGTCAAAAAACAAAATCTACTAAACTTCACTGAAAAAGTAGCACTCGGGGTAAAAATCAGCATGTTAAGAACAAACTTTACAGGTGGACAAAAATGATTGAATGTGTATATTGACTTCACTCTCTGGAAGCTTTCATGTCATCCATCTTTTTACACAGTGGGGGGGCCTAGAGAAAAGATGTCTCTCAAAGAAAGGGAAAGAAGGAAGCCAGAGAGAAAAAAGAAAGGTTTGGAAAGATGATTGTAATTCAAACATAGACATGAGATCTGACTCACTTGGAAACAAAAGAATCCAATAAAAAGCCAAGTTCAGGCAGCAGAAACGTGAGCAGCGAAACCTGCAGACAGACTGCAGCCGTCTGTCGTCCGCTGATATTTATAGGCACATGACCTCATTCAAGTTGAAGTGTAACATCCCAGTGTTAGCTGAGTTTAATATGTCCAGTAACACAATCCGTCTGTGGATAGGTCATGTTGTAAGTGTAGTGGAAGTGGAAATGTTGGGTTGGGTTTGACGCTGCTGCCTGAGGGATCCTCGTTGAGCCTCAGGGCTTTCTGGGACTTCTTCTCAGTCTACATCACATCCTGTCCAGCAGAAAACGTATTTCATGGGAAGCAGTTTTTATCTCTGCGGCAGGAGATGGACAGTCTACGTGCATAAAAACCAACCAGGGCAGAGTCTTACATAACTGCTTCTCAGAGAGAGGATGGTGCTTTACAGAGTGCATAAGGTGAAACATTATAGAGTAATAATAAGAATGGTCTCCATCTTTCTCTTCTGGTACTTATTGGAGTTTATGTTTTGGAGAGACTCAAAAAAGACAAAGGAATCCTACAAAGCTGTGATCCCAGCAGGGGAACAGGAACATGGGGTCGTGCAAGAGTTTTTTATTGACAGATGAAGTGCTACTGATAGAGAACAGACCACACTTCTCACAAGGCTGCCCCAGCTGTACATACTGTGAGGATTTAAAGGAAAGGAAAGGAAATCAGAGATTTTGGTTGAAGTAGCTCACAAAGTTACATAACTTTACTCCCAGATCCATAATAATGTGAATGTACTTAATCCCCTTCAGTAAAAAAATATTTAAAAAGTAAAAAAGGACAGAGCAAACAGCTGGGACTGTGACCTAGAATCTATTCATCTCTGAGTTATTTGAGAAACTCATAAATCAATTCAAATGCAAAGACTACTGTGTCAAAATCTGAGTTATTAAAACGTGGTTCAGATGCTGACTCTAGATGTTACTGATGTTAACTTATCCCTTCACATACGTATGTTATAAAGAGATAACCAGGAAGAAGGCAACATCTTTGCCTCACTGAAAATTCCAACCACAACATCACCTTTTCTACTGATATTACTGATATAAGATTTGTTTTGATGATATAAAATAAAAAGGGAAATACATGACAGTTTCATACAACATGCTAACTGATTTTAGTTGTTTTAGTTTAGATGAAAGCATGGACTCATATAGCGCAGTTCAGGACTATTAGGATCTATTTTGGTTAACATGTGGAATCTATTTGTGTATCTTTTGGACGTAGTTGAGAATACAAATGTAAAATACCCCAGGAGCTTTTGTGTTTAGATCCAGTCGCTTTTCATCTTTTAATGATGCAACTTGAGGTCATAAATTGGCAAAGGAGTCAAAATGACAGGTTTCTGAAATATACTTCACACATATTTTGGCGCTATACTAGTAAAAGAAGCCACAGTGTAATCCTCATGACTTGATTCAGTGTTCAACCCACACCTTGTTATCTTTCCCCGCTCTTTCATTTTTTTAATTTGTCAAATTTGTTTAATCTCACTGAACACATAAACCGACCATCTTTATGCACTGTCCATTATTCGTTTCCCCCATATACCTTTATTCTCTTTCACTTTCAGATCACTCCCGGCAGTAAGGCCTCTGTAGCCAACTTGTGTCCTGGTGACATCATCCTGGCCATCGAGGGGGCCCCGGCCTCGGACATGCTGCACTGTGAAGCCCAGAACAAGATCAAGGAGTCCAGCAGTCAGCTCCGTCTCACTGTAGAGAGGTCAGAAACAGAAAACATGCACACTACCTGTTATAACAAAAACAACAAAGCATTAGAAGTAATATACAGCTTTATCCGTGTTCTTTTCCTCGTTTGAAAGATGTTAGCTATTTAGAGAGCTTGATGAGCTAAAGCGTGTTTCAGAAACTAAGATATGAATTTGGCCCGCCTAAACTCCACTACTTTGCCTGCATCTCAAAATGTGAAGTGTGTTGGGTTCATATTGTCTCATTAGGGTGACATCACTGAGGACATAATAATAAAACAATAGTTATTTAAAGTAATAGTTTTTTAAGTTGATGTTATCATGTTTCTGATAGCTGGTATCATAGTCTAAAGTCCAAGCTGTTTTACTGTGTCTAGTAAAAAACAGATGTTAATAAATGTTTCAATAACATACACTGGTGCATAGCAGAAGCACTTTCCAAGCTGTTTGGCTTGTAGCCCTTTAAAACCAAACAGTGTCTGCTTTTGACCCCCAGTCACCAGCTGAGTGTCAGTGATTATCAAAAACTGATTTTTGTTGTTACATTTTTTTGTAATAATTGATTTTTCAGTCACCTAAAGAAAGGAAATCAACCAGTTAATTGTTTTAATTTGCGTTAATGAAAGTCAAAGGTTAATAAACATCATTGTACCTGTCGAACATCTTATGAACCGCGAGGGTTTATTGTTTTCATCTCTGACTGACCTGTGGCCCCTTTCCCACATGTCATTCCCCACTCTCTCTCTCTCTCACACACAATTTCTGACTCTGTCCACTGCCATGTCTCTAGATGAAGGTATAAACAGCCAAAAAGTCCAAAAGAATCATTTTTAATTTAGAATGAGAAAACACTAGACCTCAGTTTTGATGTTTTAGAGGTTACAGAGGATCAGACACCAACATTTTCCCTCCCTGCCAGCATTCCTAATCACTCAGTAGATCATACTATATCATCCTCCTTCCTTTTTACGTTACATAGCGCGAGCAAGGGTGCACACTGGAAAGCTCTATTTTATCTTCCATACATTAAGGCTAACTTTAAAGTGCTCTTACCTTATGGTGCGTTACATACGGCCTCCGCCATGTCCAGTTTGTGTACCAAACAGAGGCGGCTCATTTCCGCACATTAGAAAGGCTCTCTGCCCAATTTCAGACTCTACTGTCCTGTCTCTCCAATAAAGGCCCAAAAGATTAAAAAAAAATCTAAAGATAATAATGATAATACATTACACATCACTGCGTTCTACAATTACGCTTGTACTTTTTTTACCCTACACTAACCCCCTCCTTTTTTTTTAAATTGGGTGTTTGAAAGAGCCACAACAGATTATAAAGGTCATGGTACATTCATTCGTCCCCTTGGGCTGACATTCTGACCAGGATCTTGTTATTTTATTTCCAGAAATGAATCCAAACTGTGGTCTCCTCGTGTTGTGGAGGACGGCAGAGCTCAGCCATACAAAATGAACCTGGAAGCAGAACAGCAGGTTTGTATGAGCTTGAGAAGATAATACATGTTTATTAAAGGTAATCCCAGCTATTTTGCTTTGAATAATTAGTTTGCTGTTGTCTTACTAAAAGTGTTGCTCTCTTCTTCTCCCCGCAGGAATATAAACCTATCGGCACAGGTCACAACCGAAAAGCTCAGCCATTTGTAGCAGCAGCAAACATCGATGACAAGCGCCAAGTGGTCAGCTCAGCATACAACACTCCTATAGGCCTCTACTCCTCAGGAAACATCCAGGACGCCATGCAGGGACAAATCAGAGGCCTGGTGCACCAAAAGCCTGGGAGGTGATGCTTCTCACTCAATCTACTCACTCAGGCTCATTAAAAAGCACCACACAATAAACAAGCTAGATTTATTTTCAAAATTAGGTTTAGGCTACGGGTTCCAAAAAAAACTTTTAGAGGTGATAAAAAATACAATTGAAGGCAAGATCAAAGAAGGATCAGGACACTATACTAAAAGCTCTCAGCAATATTATTTGAAAAAGCTACGTTTCAATCTTGAAGATCTTCTCCAGACATTGTCCATGTCAATTCATGGGGGGGGGGGCCGAGGTATGATGTGCAAACAAACACACAAATATCAATTATTTAACCTTTCTAACCTCTCCAATAATATCTACTTTATGACACAAGATAATGGCAACATTAGCTTGTTTTTTTGACACAAAAATCAGATTCATGTTCAAATACACAATTTAAAGGACTGTATATGCACACTCCTTCACAGTCTAAGTTGCAATGTTTTGGCCCCGACACATTGCCAGTTGGTTAATTGCAAGGCAAGACAGATTGTATTCTATGCACTTGTTTTGTGAAATAAATGTGCAACAATTGTAGTTACAATTTAAAGTAAAAACAAAACAAAAAAAAGGTTAAATTGGTCTGTAAAGAAAACTACTAGCAGCATTCTGCAAAAATAACTAATTGTTGGTTTTAAAATATAGTCCCGCCTCTGACAATGCAAATAGCCAATCACAGTTTAGGATTTTTGGGGTGGCATCTGGGGTGGCCAATCAGATTTCTAGGTGGTCCCATATCACCCCTGCCCACCCCTCTGGACAAGCCCCATGATTGTGAGGAAATATTCCAAACTTGCATGCTGTGTTTTTATAGAATTATTACAATATACTTTATAATATAACTAACTGATTAAGTGACCCCATTTTACAACATAAATAATCTCTCCTCTGGTGCCACCCTCAGGCCAAATGTTTGGTTACAGTCTGAGAATAGAATAGAATTACTTTACTGATCCCAAACTGGGAAATTGTAGTGTTACAGCAGCATGTTATCAAAGAAAATACAACAATATAAGAATAGATACATAAATAAACACTTGCAATATAAAAAATAAGAATAGCATTATCTAAATTTATGTTGTGTTTTTTTGTATAACTGTGACAAACAGGGTTACTAACATGGCAGTACATTCTTTATTTTTGTTTGCTGTTGTTTTTATTACATCTGACTTGATTGCACCTGCTGCTCACATGACTCACCTCCTGAGTCACTCTGTGTGTTTGAAGGTGTCAGCTGAGCAGCTTCTGACGATCACAGATGTGTTACAGTGTGTGAGCCTTTAGCCTTCCTCTCTGTTCATGAGGATTTCATTAGGCTACCTGATAAATGGTGTGTCACTCAGAGAATTTACTACCAAGGCTCACAGGAATGAATCTTTCCATGACTTCAACACAGTTTCTAACATGCATCAAATCTGGCCTATCGTGTCATTTGTTGCAATAAATTATTCCTCTTCTAGAATTATTTCTAGATTACATGGAAACACAGAGACATCAGGGTTAGATTCATTTGATATGTAACAGAACATGATAGAAGATAAGAGTGCATGTTGTAGAATCAGCCTGCTGTATCTTTCTGTAATCACTACCCTTTAGTTCCTCATTGTCCTCATCCCACCTCTACTCCTCTACATTTTTCTCCTTTTAAGGCTGACTTGCCACGCTGTAGCTCTGTAATCTTCAGCAGGTTCTTACTTGATCTCCTCCACTCTCAAACCAGAAAGAAACAAAAAATGTTCAGAGGAATGCTCTTAATATTAACATTTGTTTTATCTGCTAGCATGAAGAATCTTTTTGAATAAACTTGACTTATAAGACTTTGAAAAAAAAAAACTTTTTTGTGTCACAATCAAATAATAATTCATTCATCAATAGTTCTACATAGGCAGAATTGTGGACTGTATTTAAGTGTGGATGGTTATGTATCAGCCCCAGGCCTCTGACCAGCATCGAGGACTCTGACGTGTACAGGATGTTGCAGAGTGGCGAGGAGGAACCACAGGAGCCTCGACAGTCTGGCTCCTTCAAAGCCCTACAGGAGTCTATCGATGGTGATGGTGAGCTCTTCATCTCTCTCCACAGGACTTCTTACATAACACAAACACATCTTACAGGATGAAATGATTCACCTTTACATTTCAGCAACAAGGCCATTCAAAGTGCTTCACAGGAGACATCAAAAGCATCATGACAAAGGGAAACAGACACAATCAAATTGAACATTTAAATAAACATTAAAAGAATGAAAGAAGCACTGCTTCAGTATAGATATTAAAATAAGTATTAAAAGGCCCTTGTACATGAACATACTACTTAAAACAGATGTGGTCATTTTACCTTACAGATTGCTGTATTCAGTTTTCTTTCTGTGAGCTCTTCTCACAGTTTTGAAGTGGGCGGGGCTTATTTAGAAAAATTATGAAATCGAAAAACCTCCTGTTGCAGGTTTTGGAAAAGGTGGGCTGTTGCTCAAATGGATTTCAACATAAAATGCTGTCACATTTACTCATGAATATCAAACAAACATTTTAACACAAACAAAGTTGCAGTGCTTTTTTAATTTGAGCATTTTCATTGTTGCAGTGTTGCAGCATTTAGTTCAGTTATATTACATAAATCGTCGAGTGATTAGGTTTGGGACACAAAGATTGTAGTTCAAGCTAAATAATGACCTGACACAGCAGATATTTTTACATAAAACATGTCCTCATTAGAGTTCGGTGAAGACAGACTCTTCTCTTTAGCTTTGGTCCAGGAGATAGACTGGCTGGTCCATCTGTCACTCCCCAGCTCCTAAGGTCATTACATATCAGACCGTCCTCTGGCAAGATGCTTAAACCTGTTGGTCATCAGTGGGAAATATCTCCTGAACAGGAAGTTGGTTACTTGCACTTGATGACCCTGAGGCCACAAGCTGAAACGTGTTGGTCTAATTTTTTAATAAAGTTGATCTTTATACTACGTGTAAAAAGATGTGTGTTGCTGGAACTTTTCAATTCAATTCAATTCAAATAACTTTATTTATCCATTAGGAACTTCATTTGTGTAAAAGAGCATCAGTACGCATACAGCTAGACACAAAAACAACAGCAGAAACACACACATACAAGTGGCTCTATTAAAAGCATGATGAATAGGTCATAAATAATTGTTATAAGCGGTTAAATGAGTGGTCTTAAAAATAAATAAGAAATAGATCATTTGTTCATGAGCCTGATGGATGTGGGAGCAAAGCTTGACATGGCTCAATTAGCCTGAACTTTTTGGACCTCTTCAAGCATTTCACTCTTCATGCACCTTGGTAAACTTATACATATTTATGCAACATGTTGAGAGTGAATGATTAATCAGTCTTTATCACACACAAATAAGAATACAAAATATCTCATAAATCCACACCTCAACGTGCCCCCCCTTATAATTCAAGTGGTGCATGTTAAAGCTAAACAATATGTCATTATGTGTTTCCTTGATTAACTAATGAAAAAGGGGAGTGTCATTTTGGTTTCAAGAGGTTAAAAGTGCCCCTGCCTCATACATTTAGATTGTTTTGTTTTGATTTATGTCTGAGTGTGGGGCTGTTTGTTTAGTGGTCTCTCTCTCTCTCTTTCTCTGCTCCATGTTTGCAGGCACTCGACCCATTGTAACCAGAACAGTAAAAGCCCCGTCAACCAAACCGACTCCACCCACAGGAAACCTGCAGAAACTGCCCATCTGTGACAAGTGTGGGAATGGGATTGTGTGAGTAAAAATAGAAATCATCTGTGATTCCCATTCAGGGTTTGCATCAGTACGAAAACAAAGGGTGGAGAAAATTACTGGAACAATACTGCAACACTATAAAGTATAACATGTCTAGAAATGAATGTGTCTCTTTGTCTGTAGCTGAATACTGAGCAAGGTTCATAATGTAGGATTTCATCCAGGGCTGAATACACTGTTATGTAAAGGCCTTTTGTTTGGACTAAAAGTGACGGAGAACCAAAATCTTAACATTAAACACCTCACCGAAAAATCTTTTGACAGTTGACCACATAAACCTTAACCCAAAAGACAACTTTTCCTTTGAACATTAAATATGCCTGTTGTTAAAATCCTGATATTTAAGCTCCACTGAGGAATCTTCTGTTTGTGTTCATTTTGACACCCCCTGTGAAATAAGTGGCACCATCTCTGCTGATTTTAACCTGTGTGTATCTATTACTGTAGTTTGACAAAAATCCCAACATGCTTTCTTTTATCAGTCAGTAGACTCACACATCTTGGAAACAAAGGCTGTGTTGGTAGTGTGCTGCTAATCTTCTCGGCTAACACCTACCCTATACGACATCACTTTCAGGCATATAAAACAACATATAGAAATGATCAAACTTTTCCTTGATGGTTTCGTTTGCTTACACAGATCATAAAGAGGAAAACGTATTATTTCAGTCAGTTTCATAACATGTTAAAAAATACTTCACAGCAGCTTCAAGCTTTATCTTGTTGTCTCTTATGCAATTTTAAAAGTAGCTTACTGATGTAAACATCAACGTTACATGTGAATTATGTATGTTATGAACCCCCTTTAATGCGGCAAATGAGCAAGTGTGCGGGCCTAGCTTCTTTCTCATTTTTTCTATTTTTGCACTGCCCTGCACCGATACGTAATGTGCGTGTAACTACCTCTTTTTCAAAATGTAAATTATACGACATACATGTAATAAATAATATGATATGTGTTCAGGACGATCTAAAATCAGATTTTGAAATATTTTCTAATAGCTAATAGAATACGTTTAACACATTCATAGTCTTTTTAATGTAAAAAAAAAATGACGATGACATAAATCATATCTTATCATTTATATTTTAATTAAACTTCATTTAGGGGTCTTATCGTAAAAAAAAAAAGAAATTGCTTGTAAGGCAGCAATACAACATAAACTTATCGACAGACTGGACTTAGTGTATTTAAAACCAAAAAATATATATGAAAAGTATTTTTTTTAAAAAAGGGAACAAAAGTACAAATAAACTAAATGTAAAGCACGGTCAAAATCGAGTGTGCTGACCTAGCTCAACAGATGCCAATAGAGCCAGCACTGGCAGCATGCTGTGAGCTTCAACCAATCAGCAGCCAGGGTTGACTGCAGTCTTAATTGCCTTCAATTAAGCATCCACTGAACACTAAAGATATCCACTGCACTCTCATATATAAATGCCTCCTATTTGTAACTGTATAAAACCTTGCTATTTAATTATTGGTATGGTTTGCGACACTCTCCATAAACTTTCTTTCCTTTTGACACCCTCTCTGTCTCTTTTGCTACAGTGGGACGGTCGTGAAGGCACGAGACAAATACCGTCACCCCGGCTGCTTTGTATGCAACGACTGTGACATCAACCTCAAACAGCAGGGCTACTTCTTTGTGGAGGGGCAGCTGTACTGTGAGACTCACGCTCGAGCTCGGACGAGACCACCAGAGGGACACGACCTCATCACAACTTTTCCCTCTGCATAGATTCCCCACTAATGAGCACAAACAGACACACTTTGGTCAAATATTCCCCCCCCAACACACATCTGTTTGTGTTATCTTACATCTGTTTGTGTTCACTTCTATCTTGTCTGTGTGAATTATACTCTTTAAAAATACACTCTTGCAGGTACATAACATGACAAAGTTCTGACCTTGAGGTCACATCTATGTCTGAACAGGTTGATCATTGAACCTGGTTGTTAATAGAGCCAAGCAGCAGTGATAATAAACAGAAAGATTTGACATGTTCAGACCTCAGTTCAAAGTGTAGGAGTGCATTTATCTGTGAAGTTTTCAATAAACAGCACTATCTTTAAAGCAGAATAACTCAGAGAGTCCTAAGTATAGTGATGGCATTAAACAAAAGGCCACGCAAACAAAAAGAAAAATGTTTACAAGTAAAATGGATGTTCTTCCATTATTATTTGTTTCCACAGTTTGCTTTCTTTGTACATCAAAGATACATTAAATAGTGAAGGTGGTTTCTCCTTTTTTAACTCATTGTGTTGGTTGCATGTGCGGTACGTATTTTCGCTGAAGGGTGCTGCACGGTACAAATGCATGCGCTATGTGTATGTCCTTATCTTCAAAAGGTTACTGTCAAGTCCAGTGACAGCCTTAGTAACTACCATAACCAAATGGAATATATTATCTTCTTTAATATCTTCAAAATGAAGTTAACAATGCAACAGAGACCAGAAACTCTCACAACTATCACATACGTCTATCAAACAAAAACAGCATCCCCCCCCCCCCCCCCATATATAGTAGGGTCATTTTTGCTATTCCTTATGTCATAATCCTTTATTTTTTAAAAGCAGCCAGTCAGCCCATCTCTGTACGGTTTGATACAATGGCTGAGGCTAAGAGGACGGTGACAGATGAGGATAAGAGTGAGTGAGTGAGTGACCGAGCAAGAAGGAGATTGTACATCCCTGCAGATATTAACCCCCTGAGGTGTAAGGCATTTGCCTAATTTTTCAACCCCTGGTCTCATTTTGTAAAAAGGCATGTTTCATCTCACCAGAGTAATGCACAACCGTGTATACATCTATTTTTTTCAGGATGGATGTCAGATAAAGTTCCAAATTAAATGCAAAATTAAAATTAAAACAACAATCACATCACAGATAAATGTTGAAATATAATGTACAACAAAGACTATGACGTTTGGACTCCTAAATGGGTGAAATAAGCATTATAGATATCAGAGATCAAAAGAATCCTAACCATTTCTTTGAGAAAATCACCAATGTTTTTTTGTCTAAAATGTGAGTTTTGCCATTAAGAAATGAGGGTCTGTAGTGGCCGTATCACACTTCTTGATCTTGTGGTATGTTCCTCTGGAAGGTCAGAGAGGGTGTAAAATGTATGTATTTATTTCAAAGGACAATCTGCCCATTATTTAGAGCTGTAATGTAAAGAGAGCACAGATCTACTTATACTAGAATATGATGAATCCATTCAAAACAGTTCTATATTTTGTATTTCTGTGCTCAGAGCAGGTAGTTTTAGGTTTCTCATTGGCCCTGACATATCAGGTGATCGCCGATACAGCCTCTGATTGGTAGACAGACCAAAAACAAATGGCAGCGTCCTTGTTAGCCCAGTGAGCTAACAGAAATTTCATTAAAAGTTATACATAAATCATCATGGATTACATTTATTTTTGGGAGGCTTGGATCTGGATAGTCTCTGAACATACACTGATCTTCTCAGTGGGATAGAAAAGCCTTGGGAAGTTGTAGAAACACACAGTGATTATCACTGGAAAACCTGGGAGCTGACGAAGCCAATGGATTTTACAGTAAGTTGCAACGTCGTACTTTTCAATTTTTTGAGCTGATGATGTAGAGACGACATTCCTTATATCGTATACGACAGCAGATTAAATTCACACATACACATGCTATGTCAACTTCACATGCAAACAGCTTTGCTGTAGATTCCTGCAGAGTCATGCTGAAGACACTTGCAGAGTCATACATAGTGTTGCTTTAAAGTAAAGCATATTACATTTGCTGTCAAAGTGAGTTTCTCAACAGACTCCACTTAATCAGTCCACAATAGAAATACAGTTAATTTTAGGGAAAAATCAATACTAATTGAACCCACACGATGTCATAAATCAAAAATGAAATCATATGGTTGGAAAGCAACATGACAGGCATGGGGAGTAAGCTAAGTGCTTTCTCCTGTAAAAGCCAGAATGGATTCTGTCAGCTAACAACAAGAAATTCAATTAGTCTTCAAAGCTATTGTTCATTTGACTTGATTAGAAAGTATCCTCCTCCTAGAGGTACACTTTGTGGCTGCAGCAGCTACTCAATTATGTTGGGCAGTTAAAGAAACAGTTATTGATTTAGTGCTGAATACACCATGAAAGCCTAAACTAAAAATGGAGAAGCAGAGCTAATGTCTCTGTCCCTTTGCTTCTCACGTATGCACAAAGTAAATCAGTGAGAACCTGGTCAACAGGAAAGGCTCTTCCAAACCTGAGCACCGGTGTAATCACTGTAAAAGCAGATAGTGGTAATTAGTAGGTCAGTGCAAACAAAGACAAGGCGCGTAGGGGGAGGAACTCCTCTCATCTGGCTAATAAGAATGCCTGTTTCAGTTTCCTACTGAAGCCTAAATGCAAACACATTTAAAAAGCTGCATTCATGTGCTGCTGTAACTCACACAACAAACAGCCCACTTAATGTCAGGCTGAAACAAAGTTAGAATAATTGTGCAACTCAAATGACAAATCCTTCATGACTCATGTTTCTGATATTTGTTTTGTATTATTTCTACACTTCAGCATGCAGGATGTCCGGGTTCAGAGACTCTATGGCATATCTGCATCTTGCATCTTAATCCCGCCAGTTAACAAGGACCCCTTATCTAAATGCGTAAAACTCTTAACAGCCTAAATAGAGTTTGTAAAGATAAACTCACACCGTATGAGTCCAAAAGTTTCACAGAACGTGCATGAAAGGCAAACATCACTTGTTGACTGACTACTGTATTGAAATGAGGCATTTATCCTGGGAATTATCTGAAGATCTTTAGTGAGCAAATATTTTATACAGTCCGTGTTTATGAAAGGTATTCCAGTTTTTTTTCGATGACTGTCAAAAGTGCTTCTTAAGATCCAATACAATATGACATGATACACTTTATTGTCCCCCAAAGGACTCAAAGTGCTGCAAACAGTAGAATAACAACTAAAATAGGTCAAAAGCAGCAGTAGCAGGTCCAGGTCGCGGGCAGAGCAATGCCACCAGGAGAATGATTAATTCATCTGTTGTTATTATTGTTGTATTGGTCCTTTAATCTAATAGTGATGAATCATTGATTTTTTTACATTTTAGCTCAATAAATGACATCAATGATTGATTTATTGCTTTTTCATTATAGGCTTACTTCTATTTTTACCAGCACTTCATAAGCCGATATCGTGTAGTAACTCTCGTTTGCTGATGTAACCTAGAGCTCATGATATCTCTCTTGACGTGAGCTTGATGTGAAATGTTGTAGAAATTGATACAGACATGTTTATTTTGTTGTTAGGTAGTTTAGTTGATAAATCACTAAAAATACTATCAAAAAGTGACACCCCACCACATGGAAAAATATACACAAGGGATACCATGATTTGAATTGCATGTTTCTGTTCTTTTTATGTGCATGAATAGAATTTTGACCTTAAAAAATGCCTCTTTTGATAAATGCAGTCTGATTGCTAACAGCAGGAGAGTTCATGCAGTGGAGTTTGATTACAAAAGAACACTTTGAATGATGTACTCAGGCTTCAGCCATCATTTATTTGTTCAGCTGTGATTGCACAGTCCATAGTATACATTTAACGATATATATATATACATCAAATAACATTTTTGTGAGTTTGGTTGTGCAAGAATAACCAAGTTACATGAAAATGTTTGTTGTTATGATCACAACATTCAGCTGTAATTAGGGCCAGAACACAGAACTTGGAGCGAGGACCCTATTGAAATGCAAGGAATTATTAGGGACCGACCCTATTGGAGCCTTCAGGCTGAATGATTCAACCAATGAATGAATCGCATGTTTGGCAGCTTGAACATGCCCCAAAACTCTTTAAATGTTTTACAAAATTAGGAGAAAATTATGTGTAATTATTATTCAGCGCATTAGCGTCGTAAAATAGCTCCACAGCGCCCTTTGCAAATGTATCAAACCCTCACATGCATCAAACCCTCACATGCATCGAACCCTCACATGCATCAAACCCTGACATGCATCAAACCCACATGCATCAAACCCACATGCATCAAACCCTCACATGCATCAAACCCTCACATGCATCAAACCCTGACATGCATCAAACCCTCACATGCATCAAACCCTCACATGCATCAAACCCTCACATGCATCAAACCCAGACATGCATCAAACCCTCACATGCATCAAACCCTCACATGCATCAAACCCTGACATGCATCAAACCCTCACATGCATCAAACCCTCACATGCATCAAACCCTGACATGTATCAAACACTCACATGCATCAAACCCTGACATGCATCAAACCCAGACATGCATCAAACCCAGACATGCATCAAACCCTCACATGCATCAAACCCAGACATACATCAAACCCAGACATGCATCAAACCCTCACATGCATCAAACCCTCACATGCATCAAACCCTCACATGCATCAAACCCAGACATGCATCAAACCCTCACATGCATCAAACCCAGACATGCATCAAACCCTCACATGCATCAAACCCAGACATGCATAAAACCCTCACATGCATCAAACCCTGACATGCATCAAACCCCGACATGCATCAAACCCTGACATGCATCAAACCCTGACATGCATCAAACCCTGACATGCATCAAACCCTGACATGCATCAAACCCTCACATGCATCAAACCCTGACATGCATCAAACCCTCACATGCATCGTCAAACCCTCAACATGCATCAAACCCTGACATGCGTCAAATCCCGACATGCATCAAACCCAGACATGCATCAAACCCCGACATGCACAGGGGTGCTAGCGCCCATTCAGTACAGCTTGCAGCCCTAGTCAGATGTTGAAAATTATGTTGAATTTGTATGTTTGTTTGTTACTAGATTACTTACTTATGTTAAAGACTTTGCCTATGATATCTAATGTACCTTACTATAAGTCGACATTGTCATTTAAAAAAAAAAAATATGGGTCACAAATAGTGGCCCTTAGGATCTTTGACCCCTAAATCCTCTCCTCCCTCTGCAAACACTGTTTTCATTTAAAACAGGTTCATGTGACTTGTTTCCTCTGTTGCATTCATTGAAGGTATAAAGTAACATGTTGTCTTGAACAAATCAGAACATAGTACACGGCTTGAATGACATGAAAAATGAAAAAAAAAAACACATTTCAAAATGTCATGCAGGATTTTGCCATGGGGATATTTGGTTTGATTTTGTCCTTGTGAGTTTTACCCAGTCTTCTACCTCCTCCCTGAAGTGTTGGTTTCTCAACTGTTACCAGTACAAATCAAATGCAGTTTTGACTGTGACTTCCATGCTAATCAAATGAGTTTTATTAATACATGGTCAAAGGTTATTAAATCTGTTTTTAAATCTGGCTTAAACATAAGGTCAATATGTCAGCCATGCTTTCACATATTAATTAATGGTTAACATTCACAGACCTTGTTGATAGGCTCATGGTAATAGAATAACTTTGGTTGTACTGATTTCAAGGTCTGCCTGTTCTTTCTATACACTTGGATTTGATGTATACTGAAGGACATGTGACTTCACCTGTATCTGTAGGAATATTTAAAAGAAATGTTTCCATTAGCATTTATATACAATATTGATTTATTTAACTAAAACTCGATACACATATTCAAGATTTTTTAAATAATTTTAATAACACCTTTTTTAAATTAACCAACACATCCATATATACACAGTTGTTGTGGTGTGTGTTGTAGGGGATTTATTAGTTTCCCTATAATGTTTATTCAGTGTTTGAGTTTACTTTACAGCTGTGTTCCAGAATTGAATTGAAAATAATTACACTGAATTGCTTGAAACAGTATTAAAAAAAAGACATTGACCACAATGTAAATACCTCATAGAAAAGGGGCTTCTTATCTTTCAGTGACACAATCAAGGTACAAACACTGCAACAGAAATGTGTTACTTCATATTGATTTTACAGTAACATTTGTCAGCAGTAATTGATCAGTTGGTACAGAAATAATCATTTTCTTTTCTCTAAAAGTTGTTCTGATTTGAATGGTAAAGGGGGTTGGGGGCTTATGTATCTGTTCATTAGCTATATGAAGGAAGATTTAAGGAGCATACAGTGTAGTTTTCAGAAATGGTAAAACTCTATGAACTGATAAATATACGTGCGTGTGTGTGTGTGCGTGCGTGCGTGCGTGCGTGCGTGCGTGCGTGCGTGCGTGCGTCTAATGGACATGTCCTTGTGCAGCTCTCTAGTCCGGCCCAATCAAAACACTTTACTCCTACTGTATATTTCAAATTAGTTTATTCACATCACATTCATCATTCATACACTGATGGCAGAGGCTACTATGTAATGTACCCCTCAGTATTAACTTATCCCATTCATACACATTCTGCTGAATGAAATTGTTACACTGTATCATTGTCTCATCAAGCACACTTCAACGTGGGGATTGAATCACCAACCTTTTGAATGAAAAACAAGTGACGACCGACTTTACAACTGAGCCACAGTCACACCACAGTGTGTGTACATTCTTAGTTAAAATAAGATTTCTTTATCATAAAAAAATCTCAACATTTTAGAAAAGACTGTACACAAACTGTACGAGGTGTTTATAAAGTTAAAGGACACATCATATTTTTATAACCATTAATTAAAAAAATGTACAAGGCCAAATGAACCATAAATAAAGATTGAATCACTACTTTCACCGAAACAAATCAAAGTTGTCATTCATTTCTTGAACCTGTATTAAAATGCTTATATAGCTAACCTTCATTTGATTATTATTATAATATATATATATATATATATATATATATATATATATATATAGTTGTTCTTTCAATATAACAACAATGTTAGTTTCTACTGTGGAAAGTAGTACTTGAGGAGTTCAGCTTAGTAAAAATGTTGGGAACTTATTAACTAGTACACCTTGAAGGGAAAATCCAGTGAAAAGAAGTACCTGAAAAGCACTTACTGCTTCAAGGAAAGCTCAAGGTTAGAACTGAAGGAAATCAGATGAGAGCAAAGATCTCTTCTTCTTTGTTCTTCTGGTTTTTATATCTCAAAAAGAAGCTGCTCTCTGTAAAGTAGACCATGTCCTACAGTTTATAAGGAGAGAAGCAGACAGGGAACATAAGCTTACCGGAGCGCTAAAACTTGAGTGTACCCAAATTGAAGTTTAAAATAACTAAATTACTTTGAGAGAACAGTCTGATCAGATCAAAACATACAGATATGAACCATACACAGACAAACTCCAACAATACAAAGAAATACCCACAACTTACAAATACTGCTTTTTTCCGTTTTTTATGTGTAATAATAATCTTTGAATTGCTCTGTTCTTAAATTATCTTGTAAAGTTTGTTTTTATGCCCACTGTAAAGCATTAGAACAAGCCTTGTTTGTTTAAAAGTACTCTATAGATAAATCTGACCTCGACTTGTGTATTGACCAAAACTAATTGGAAAGAGAGCCGTCTTGGAACCCTTCGGCTATTGTCAGAGAGCCATACAGCCTCTGCGAAGGATGGACATTTATGTATTTTCTAGAGTATAGCCACAAATGTCGTTTTTTTTTTTACTCTAGCTTAGACGTTCTTTTCAGTTTCCTGCTCACTGTCCAAGAGTTACTTTAAAAGTAAGAATTAAGGTGGAGTTAGGAGTTTCTAAATACATATTGTGAGCTCCACAGATTGTGGGGACATGACGTTTTATGACCCTATGACCCAATCATAGAGAAGAGAGAAGGTAAGTTAAAGTAGAAGCTCTTTTAAAATGATTTTTTCCAGCCCAAATATAGGCTGTATCTATAACGCTTAATTTAGGAGGTCAGAGTGCCCTCACAAAACCAAGTGGATATATTTCCATGAATGATAATCAATGAACTTGCTCTTACATGTGTATTTTAAACCTTAGTTGATTTAGAGTCTGTGTAAACCTCCTCTTCATTCTTTTGCCTGTCTCTGCCTTTACATCCTCTTAGCCTTACCTTAGGCTGGTAACAGTTAAACACAGACAAGAAGGCTTTCCTGTAGTTTTTGTTCATCCATCCATACAGGATAGGGTTTACGAATGTGGAGCACATAGCCATGATGTGAAACACGGTGAAAAGCAGCTTAAAGTCCTTCATGTACGACAAAGTGCTGTCAATGTCAACGGCCAGCTGAAAAGCGTGGAACGGCAACCAGCTGACAGCAAAGACCACCACCATCAGCAGCAGCATCTTTGTGGTCTTCTCCCTACGCTGGTTTCGGACGTTTCGTCCCGTGCAGGTCATGTGATTCTTCAGTTTATTCCAGATGCGAATGTAGGCAACAGAGGTAACCATCAGAGGTAAGCCATATTGAATCAGTATCGCGGATATGCTGTAGATGCTTCCATTCATGCTGCTTCCAGGCCACTCTTCTGTACACACCTGGATAGACTCGTTCGGTGGGAAATCTAACGTCCCATACTCCCTGAAAATGGCGAGTGGGCTAGCTAACAGCGCACTTACAGCCCAAGTGATGGCAATTACTAGGGCACACGTGTTTTTGGACATCTTGGTCTCCATGTGGTAGACAATGCTCCGGTGGCGATCCAGGGCGATGACGTTTAAAGTGATGGTGGAAACGTGAACCGCAACACCTTGAGCATAGGGCAGCATGAAACACAACACCTGACCGAACTTCCACTCGCCATACAGCGTGTAGATTAGGGTGAAAGGCAAACATAATGTGTTCACCAACAGGTCTGAAACAGCTAAGTTTACGATAAAGAAACTGGTAACCGTTTGCAGATTTTTAAACTTGAAGACAACATATATCACCAACGAGTTTCCAATAACTCCAAACAGGATGATGGTGCTGTAAGCCAGGATGAGAATCACTTGAACTCCTATTAGCTTCGTGCTGTCGTCCAGCTGCAGGAAGTTCTCATCTATTATAGTGTCTTTAGTCGAGCAGCAGTTTGAAGATTGCAGTTGAAGCTGTGAATCTTCAACTTGACTTGTGTTAAGTTGATCTGATGTTTCCATGGTTAACAGTCCCCATAAGTGACTCTGTGAAGAGATGGACACCAGTTTCAGTAACAAACATGATCTGGTACAACAAAAAAGTAATCAGTTTCTCTAGTATTTCAAAGGTTTTCTGTGATTGTTGCGACTTAAAGGTGCACCATGGAGTTTTGTTAGAAATATGTGAAAGTTGGAGAAATTTACAGATTCTGTGGTGTCCTCAGAGGAAAATGTCCCCTGGACACTGTTTGAAGATAAAGTGCTACGCGGGAAATTGTGGTGGAGGGCCCGCTGCAGTGAAGCCGTAACTCTCCTGGTAGCTTCTTAGCACCAAACAGTGTTCCAGGTACCCATATTTTCTTTTAGTAAGTTTTGTGTATTTAGGTCAGAAAATATAGCATAGAATTGTTTCACTTCTCCAACATTCAAATTTCACTACCAAATCTACGTAGTGAATCTTTAAAATGACTGATTTCAATGCAGCATTCTTAAAAAGTGGCAATGCAGTTGCAGCATTATAGGAGCACTCTTTAGTTCAGAGCAGGCCCAATAAAATGTGTGAAAACTGAATGACACTAAAACAACATACCATGACATATTTAGCTTGCACTGTGAAGACCATTTCAATGCTTCTAAAAGTGCAAAGGATAACTTAACAAATATTGATTTACATTTGATGTAGACTTTTATGAATCATAAATCATGCTTTAAGTAAGAATGCACTGATGCCTTCCTTATGTATGACCTGCATTACAGAGAGGGAAGACTGAGTCATGGTACACATGTTAGAAAGACGTATTCAATACACGCAGTCTTAAGTATTTTAAGAGCTAATGAGTCCACAATGAACCAGAATAAGAAAACGACACATTTCTTATAATATTTAGCCTTGTTCAATTGAGCTTAACATTAAGGAGGCACACTGAAAGTTATGATTTCAGGAGGAGGCTGATCCTAAAGAGTGCACCATACAACGAAAGCGAGAGAGAATTCTCTTTTTTCCCCTCAATTTATAGGTTTAAAAATGCACATCATTTTAGGATGCACTATCACTTTAAGAAGTCTTGAATTATCATATTGAAAGCATGAGTCTCAGCTACATAAACTACAAAATATCCATTCAAAATAACCGCTGTATTATTATGTGTTATTATCGTGACAAGATTGTTTTTTTTACTTTGGAGACCCCAGTTACTGTATGATTATGTTCGGACTGCAAATCTTCAATCTCTGGGAATACTTTCACAATGAAGAAAAATAAACTGTAACAGAGACACCTTTGTTTTTTCAGCCTTAGTGTGCCAGCCTTTAGTGTCACAGCAGGGTTCAGGCTCATTTCCCACACTGGAATTGTCCGGATCAAAATAACAAATTTGGATCAAATTAGATTTTAAAAAAATTCCACTCACCTGAATCTAGACAGTGTGCTTTTTAGAGTCATCTCACTGTTTTTGCTCCCATTAAAGTTTACGATTATGTTTTGACTTGCTCCGTTTCGCTTCAGTGTTATCCAGAGGACCAACGCTGTATAAAACACTCAAACTCACGCAGGAACTATCTTCCTCGTGCGCGCAGTAATTGGCTGTGCGCACTGCAGAGCGTCTGGCGCGGAGATCGCACTACCTGCCCTGTGAGACTCGAGACTCACAGATGAGGAGGGGTGAGGAACAGTGAGGAAACAGCTTCTTTTTTTCCCCCCCTTAGCAACATCCTCCAAAACGGCACATGATGTCTCTCTTCATTTCCAACGAGTCTGTTTGAGCTGGAATAGTAACGTTACCGCCTGCCTGTGCCAAATTAAGAAGATCGATCATTACAAATAAGTAAATGAGTAAATTTAGCACTTGTGTTCTCTTAAATGTTTAATTCATGACGTCCAAGATTATATGAACTCCAATGTAAGAGACCCTGGTTTGTTGTTAAATTTGGACCTTGCGCTGTGCTGAGTGTGTCTCTGCATACAAATATATACGTGACCCTGTTTAGTGTGAAAGAAAGGTTTTGAACTAAATTTCCTTCCCCAGAAAGAACAGGATACAAAGAAATACAAACAAGAAGGGGGGTATGGGTAGCTCAAAATACAATTGAAACCTTTATTTATAGTGTATACATTTATGTACAATTTTAAAGCATCTTTGAGAAATGTCCTTTCAAGTTTTTGATCAATAAAATACATATCAATCTATTAATTATACGCCCTATAATCACATAGGGTGACCTTAAAACCTGACTCAATTTTATTAGAAAGGTTGGGCATGAGTTCACACATGATTTTGTTTTTCTTCTTTCCAGCTCTAAGTCAAACGTAATACTGTGAAACAAACATCATTTCTGTAATAAATGTGTCCTGTGCAGGCTCACAGAGTGCTCAAGGCAGGACACCACAGAGCCAACACACAGACACACAATTTAGAGTACCCTCTTCCCTTAGAGCGTACCTTTTAACGACAGGCACATTGACCAATATGAGGCAATTACACATAATTTATATGTCACTGTGACACTTTTCTGAGATGCTAAAAATCTTTCAGCTTCATTCATTTCCTCCACAACCACTGAACGCATCGTCTTTCTTATTGGGTTAGAAGACAACGGGTTTACTATTCAGAGTGTAGTACAATGCATCTGACCAATTTCAAACTGTTGAGCCTCTGGCAGGTAATTAGGCTCATAATTTGATTATCACTATTATAATCCAAGACACCATGTGGCCGTTGGAAATTGAGTTACTGTCCAGTAGCATCCTTGGAAAAGGAAACTACACAGATGGCGAAGTAATGAGGAAAACAGAAAACACAATGTTTTTGTAGAAGTTGAGCAGTCATTTAAATGATGATCCATGTTGAATGTCAGCACAACTAAACATTTGTTTTTCGAGAACTATGCAAGAACACCTGATAGAATTTTTTTTTTTTTCGCACTGTCAAAGTCTGCCAGCATCTTTTTTCCATTCTCCAGTCTTCTCCACAACGATGTATCTCATATTGCTTTCTTTGCAGTGTTTACTTAATGTGTCATCTTCAGTTTGTATAGTTCCCTAATGTAGCCTGCAGCTAACTACATTTTTTAAATTCCTATTACTTTGTGCTTTTTCCTTTTTCCCTCAGTAAACAAACCAATGTTCAGAACTTCCAGAACTTTTCTGCAGATCAATATGATTACAGTTAATCCCCAATTCCTCAAAAAGCTTGTCCACTAACCTATGGGTGATGTCATAATGGTTATATCAGTTTACATCATAACCTGTGGACTACATTTTTATTTTTTTGGCCACTTGGGGGCACTATACAAGCTGTAAAATCAACAATAATGTGTTTCGCACTTTAATATGGTAAATGCATTCAAATTTGTTGTAAGGTTTAGTGTGAAAAATGAAAGGGCAGGAGTTTTCTGCATAGGAAAATACTCGTTTTATCTCAATCAAACATTTACTTTTTAGTTGAACAAATATCTCTCTGGTGTCTCTTCATCATACATTTTTAAGTCGTTCGTTTCAAGTTATTCATTGTAATTTCATCACATTGATGTAAAAAGATTGTTTTCAATATTATCTGTGGAAGTGAAAATATATTCTTAATTAATTTCTTTACAATGTGTACGCCCTTGTCAATGAAAGGCAGAGCATGGAATATATTGTTCTATTAATAAGAACGACTCATCCACCGATCTAATCAGCAACATGCAGCAAACTGATAAAAAACACATCAGCACAGAGCAGTGACAGATTGATTTATTGATTATTGAACTGAATCGGGCTCCAGAGATATCTGAAGTGACTGAAGCATACTTAAATATCTCCACATACGGTGTCTACAGAAGACCACAGCTCATTTATCATTCTGCACAACACAACATTAATATGCGAAGTTGCATAACCCCCTTGTGTCAAATTATTGACCAAATGCCACCTGTTCTTTATGAGTCTGCACAATGTCATGACCAAAAGAACAAATGTCAGTTTGAAAGTGAAGTGTTGCAACAAGGGAAACAAACTTTTATCCAATCATTATTAGCTTAAACGCACACAAACTCATACAATTGTGACGATTTTTGTCCATTTTAGCAAAACGTTTCTTACCTACATTAAGGTGTGTTTCCTTTTTTTGTTGTCTTCCGAAGCTACAAAAAAGCATGATTTTCTACACAGACTGTCCTCTCTTTTCATCTTTATGCTGATAGCGACAGAAAGAGATACAGCAGGAATGAGCGGTAACCAGAAGGCATGAAACAAAAGGATGTTGAAATTACCTGTTTGTGTCATACGCAATGAGAAATTAAAGGTATTTCCTATTCATACACAGGATTCATTTACAGGGTGCCTCGAGGTGTGTTTATTTCAATCTTTGTCGGTATACCCAGAGACACCATGCTCTTTTATGAATCTAAATGAGATGATCATAAGACAACTTCGAAAACCAGCTGCTGCAAATTTGTATTCAAAGAATGATAACACATTGACCTTCCTTTTCAAACGCACAGCATCCCCAATGTGTAGCTATAGTCAATTTAGACTAACATTACTACATTGTTTTCTTACAGCCCGTCCAATTCCGTCTGCTGGCTGACTTCTCTGTTCAGTATTCAGAATGATTACTACAGCTGCTGCTGCTGAGCCCTCTCTACTCATAGCGTCTAATAAAGCTGTGGACAACAATAACCGTATCGTTCCACTTAAGGTATCTTGGTTAGCCATCAGACCAGTTAAGCTACAGTATTGAATATGTCCAGGAACAATATGCAGTGTTTCAAATATTTTGGGAACAGTTTTAATGCCTCTCAGCTCAGCCCTTTTATTGTTGTGATGTATATGATACATCAAAAAGTGGCCAGCTGACAGAAAAGTAAAGCCCTGAGAATTTTCTCTAGCGTACACTCAACAGCGTTTTTCTTAATGTGGGTTTTCCAAAAAAATAAGTGCTACGTGGCACAAATTGCCTTCTGAGCAATGTTAAGCCTAGCTTCCTTGCTAGCTCTCTGACTGGCTTCTGAATAAAGGAGCCAAGCTGACTGTCATCTTCTATGGCTTATACACTTACTATTCACAAGTAATCATACAACCCCACTTCAAAAATTAACTACTTTTGTGTAATATGAGCATCAAATGAAACACAAGCCACTGGGATGTTTAGCATTTATAGGTGTTGCACAGATGTCAGGATTTGTGCGGTCATACCAAAGCAAGTCCAAGGCAGATGATGACATTAAACTTTGAGTTTAACTGTATAGTCTGCAGTTTGGAACATAAAGACCACTGCTCTATAGAGGCAATTTAATGGAGCACCAGCCTTTTTGATTGCGTGGGAAACATTTCAGAGCTGGAATGTCTGGTCTCAAACATCCCCTAAGGCTGTTTGGGGGAAAAAATATTGAGCGTGAGGAAACAGAGAGTAAGCACTGATCTTAAACATCAAACATGTTCCGCTTGGAATATGCAAACCATATGAATTAACAGCACAGCGATGTTCTCTGTCCTGTATTGTCACACATGAATGTTGACATTGAAACCATGTTTATGCTTAAAGAAGTCCTATGTTTTCCCTAGAGACTCACTTGTTTGTTGGTGCTTCAGATTTGATCAAAACTCATCTCTCACTTGAACAGAAATCTTGTTTTCTGCAGCGGTGATCCATGTTTGATGTATTTATTTGTAGCTCAAAAAGAGGAAACCCCTGGGTGAATAGATAAAAATCAGATTTTTCAGGATTGAATTCAGGCCAAAAGCTAAAAGGCATCTATTTCAGAGGTGACAAAACTCAGTTATTCTTCAATCTCAGCAGGGACTTTGAACCTGCACTCAACTTAATAGATCTTGTGGGTTTCAGCCCATTACATCAGCCTCCCTTAAATCAATACATAGTGTTTCTCTGCAGGATTCATGCTTAGGTGTAATGTCAAGGTAATTACTCTTCATTACCATTGGATTTTACCTATGTTACTCAGGTTCAAAGCAAAAATCCATTTCCACATGTTACCCACAGTGACTTTTTGCATTGAATGTGTCTTGAATGTTCATCAGGTACATAGTTTAATGGAAAATATTTGGATAAGTCTGCTTACTTTAGTCTAAAGGTTAAGAAGCTTATCTTTATAAAATACATGTATTTATTTCTTCATTAATTAACATTCAAAACAAACCTTTCCTCTTCCACACCTTCCACAACATTGTGAACATTTTTGCAAAACGATTAAAGTGTGGTGCATGAGACATAAAAGATAGAACTGTATTTTACATGGTGTCAACATGTCCACAGGGAATCTTTCATTTTAAAAAGATAAGATAAGATACTTCTTTATTGATCCCCCAGAAGCTAAATTCAACGATGAGATGTGTCTGATTTCTGTCTTTACAAACACCTTTTCAAGAGGCTAAAACCCTCACAATCTTTCAGATGGTTGAATTCATTTTTATGGTTTTACTGCCAAAGAATTCAGATCAAATTAAAGATATGGCATATGGTGCTAACATAGACCAGTTTGTGTTCCCAAATGTCGATTAATCAGCTAACCTCCACACCAGATGGCACAATTGCTATTAACTCCTTCATAAGCACTGTTTGGCTTTTTGAGTTTATCCACGCGAACTCTGTTTATCCACGCAAACTCTGTTTATCCACGCAAACTCTGTTTATTCACGCAAACTCTGTCGCTTTTGGACGTCCACATATATTCTAATATGTTTAAGTTAAGAGATATGAAGAAACATCCTTGTATAGGTCATTTTAGTATTTATTTCTTGTCCTTGTTTAGTTCAATCTAAAATCTGTTTCATTAGAGACAACATGAACGTGCTAGCTCTGTAGCCACAGGAGGTCATAAAGTCAGAAATAATTATAATGATAACACAGATTTATTAATTTCTTTATGTAAAAAATGTTCCTTGCCAAGCACTGTGCTTTATGGGTAATGAAAGCATTTTAATGTTTTCCCTTCGGACAGAACTCAAACTACAACTCTTACCCTCAGAGTCTTGAAATAAATATTCATCAAAAAAATTCAAGGCTGATTTTAGTATTACCTCTTGCTCATCATTCAGTCTCTCCTTTATTCTGTCAATCTGATATCAAGAAAAAAAAAATTTGCCCGTCTATTTTAAAGGGGTATTGCTAAAAAAAAGAAAAAAAATCAAAGTTTGGGAGTGTTGCCCAGGATTGCCATGCTATTCTTGTTAAAATTCTTACGATGACTTAAACACACATTCTCTGAAATCAGGAGCAAACATTTCAATTGTTTCAGGAAGATTTTTTCCCCAAGCCTGCATCCAGTGTTATGTTCCCACAGACAGTCCTTTTTGTCCCCTTTCATTTGGCACAACAAAAACAGAGAAAAATCTTTATATCAGAAATTAGTCACCCATTTGAATATCATTTTCTTCTATATTTTTCACTTTACCTTACTGCAGCCAGCAGAGTGATTAGGCTGAGTGAGGCCACCTGTGCCTCATTGGACAGAGTGGAGCCTTCATGTTGTGTAGTGTTTTTGTTTCTACCTGAAAAGGTGTTTACTGTTCTAAGTTGATATTAGCTCTCCACTTGAAATAACGATATGTTGCTGTCTAATGATTTATTCTTGTTTCAGTGGGGCTTTTGTTCTTTGGCTTCCCTATATTCCTGAAATGGTTTGCTCCAATTAGGGTGAGGCCAAGAGAAGCATAAAAGTAGACTCAGCCAGAGTCCATGGCAAAACATTTTTTTTTTCTTTTGTGGCAGCTTGCTGTGAGGCTGTTTTCTTTCAGCTTATTAAGTCTAGTTGCTTTTTGTTAAATAACCCTGGACTGTTTTTTTTTTTTTTTTTTTGCTCTTTTGTGCATTTCCGGTTAATAAATCCATCACTTTATGTTTGCAACAATTTCTTCTTTCTGAGCAATTCTTTTAGTCACCACCTGTGCCAAACAGCCACACTTTTATCCAGTGGCAGTTCTAGACCACTTTTACTGAGGGGGCCAAACTGGGGCCAGTTGTTTTGTCAGAGGGGAACATTAAACCCAAGAGAAAAAAAGACAAAGATGATCACTTTAAAATAAAATATGTATATTATGCCAAATAATAGTGCACATCATAAAATACCACAACATAAAATACCATGAATGATATTTTTTCAGTAACAGTATTTAATACTAGATTGTAAGTCAGGTTGTTGAGTCAAATACTGTGTATGTGTTATTAGGGGGGCTCTTCCTTTTGGAGGGGTGGCCACAGGGGGGACCAAGCTCAGTGTTGGCCCCTGCCTAGAACTGCCCATGCTTTTATCCAATGTTTGATGTAGACTTCCAACTGGTAATGCTACACACCCGTTGCAGCCTCTACCATCAGTGTGTAAATGTAGTGTGAATGTGACATGAAGTGTAAAAGCCCTTTGAGTGGTCAGAAGACTAGTAGAGCTTAAGTCCATTTACAACTGACCATTTTACAAGAAAGAAAACACAAACAAAAGCAGGTAGAAATACAGATTTAATGGACTGACACACACACACACACATCCATCACTATGATATTTCAAGTGATTCTATTTTTTTGTTGGTAAGAAACTTATTGCACTTTGTCCAAGCCAAACTTTTAACCTCAGCAGAATCTAATTACAGTTTCATGAACTTTTCCTCAACTCACAAAACACACTAAAATTAACTCTGATAATACCTCTTTATCTCCACCATGGTCACCAGGGATTTGGAAATGTGCCAAACCAAAGCCAAGTAGTGAACATTAATGATAACAAAGTAGATTTTAATAAAAAGCTGTTCAGAAAAGAATGACAGTAAAGAATGATCGATATAAGACGACACATTCACATCAGTTTATAAAAAAAAAAGACCTAAAATGATCCAAAGAACATAAAAAGTAAACTTATAAGGAACTCATTTCATTTCAGCCTCCACCGGCGTGTTGAATGAGTCTTTCTTGCTGGAGGCCTTTAGGCTGCCATCCAGATAGTGAATGAGATGAGCACGGTCAGTAAAAGTGTCAGTGGTGTCACACAGCCCACGTACAGCATGGCTCCTACGCCGCACAGTGCAGTGAAATAAGAGCTCATCCTGCTGCAGACAATTTTCCGTACTGCTGTGCAGAACTGCAAGGAAGAGGGAGAGAATTAGATTCGAAGCAAAGTAAAGCACAAATAAGCAGCGTAGAGTGTCTGTTATCAAAGGGAAGTCTTCATGATCTCCAGAATAACATCATTATGACATGAGGAAACACTAGAGGGAGCCACTCGACTCAGAAAGAAGTTCATTTTTCACTCCAGTGGACTGAAGCAAACAACTCTGTGCTGAGCTGTAACCTCATATGACGCATGTCGATCCGATTTTTACCATAAAGCTAGTAAATCAATGTGAGGTAAAAAGAAACTAACATAAATAAACTCAGATTATCACATCTTTACACTGAGTTTTACTAAATGTGTCCAATAATCTGTTTATGACTTAATCCTGGTTAATGACTGACGGCCATGCAGTCGCTTCACGTGTTGTGAAACTCAAACTATTAGCTTCTACATGTGACGTCACAATAATCCCCAGGATGTAAAAAAATAGAAGCATGTGTGAAGAATTAAGGAATTAAAGATTGCTGTTGAATCAAGATTTCGAAATGAATCTCAAAATAACAATCTCGTGATGGATTGTTATAATCAACAGGCTGTGCAAACTTACATAAAAGTTTACATAATGAAAACTGCTGAAAAGTTGTTTTTTCACGTCTGCTCTAGAACAACACTAGTAGTTTTTTCGTGGTTTTTTTATTTATGAGAGTTATGGAGGTGGTTATGATTTTTGTCTCAGGCTGTGAATGGAACATTTCCTTTAGCATCTCAACATAAGTGATGAGGAATATACAGCACTATATCATCTAGTTTCATGTATAAACTGTATTTTAGTTGGCCTAGCATATATCCAATTTAATTTAAAGGGATACTTCACCCATTTGCATTAAGCTTTGTATCATTAGAAACCTGGTAGTATTTTTGAATGGTCGTGCGTCCCGCCCTCATTTTCCCCTGAGATAGGATATATTTGTATTTCTGAGTCTGAAAAGGAGCTTCCAGTGACGCAAAATGACGATTTTTGCGTCACTGGAAGCTGCTGCGGTTAGCGGGGTGAAACTACAAAGGTAGTTCCTCATTGCCGAAAGGCCGGTCTTGTGTTTTTGCTGCCGCCGGAGCAGCTGCTGGCCGCTCGCAGGGACACAAGACCGGCCTGTCGGCAGCAACCATCTCGCGGCTATATTGCTATATCGCTGGCCGCCGGGGCGGTGAGGACAAGGAGCCCGAGCTGGGGCGGACTGGTAGTGTCGGTGCTCTCACTGTTTGCCTATGGACACAGACATAGAGTCTGTTTTCTGCCAGGAATTTGCGGTGCTGTGCATTCTGGGATTTGGTGTCTTTCATCTACATGAGCCAAAAAGATACTTTCTGCCTTCTCTCTGCCAAGAAGGCACCAACATCAAAATTCATTTCACATTTCTACTACATATATGACCCAATGTCAATACAGATTCATGTTTCGACGGGTGAAGTATCCCTTTAAGAAAGGCAAATCCTTGCTGCATTTTTAGACCACTGTTTCCCCTCTTTAATTTCCTTCTATCAAGAAAAGTTTTTCAGACAATATAAATGGGCTTTTTCAATCAAAAGACTAGTTAGAGCAATCCCATGCGTAAGAGGTCAGCTCTTCCTCAGTTCAAATATACTTTGAGCTTTTTTGTTATTCAATTAACAAACAATTGCGTTTTATAAAAAACAGACAGTCTTGGAACATCTATGCAGCCAATTAGACGCCCCATGTGGACAAAACAGTCTGACTTAACTTTTTTCTGGTTTTGTTCTTTACATGTTAAAGCAATATTTTCTGACAAAAATAAATGTCATCCTGCTGTCTTTTATTTTAAAGCCACTCATCTAGAAGCTTTGTCGTTGAAAATGTAAACAAAGGCTGTTATCTCTTCAACACCTACCCTGTGGCTGAGTTAACAGGCATATCAAATAAATACATACAGTAGAAATACTCAATCTTCTCTCCTTTAGTCTTTGCTTTTGTAGCTCATCAAGAGGCGTCATTATACACCATATGGAGAAAGACGACTAAAAGGCAAAGCACTGTACCAAGTGTCTTTAACTCAGACCTTTAAAGTTGATACTATAGCTTTGATTAAACTCATAAATATTAATTTACACAGGATAAGGACTTTGTATTTTTCCCTAGTCAGTTAAATTGGTAAGGAACAGATTTTTTTTGACAGCAAATTGGATGAAAACTGTGAACCTTTAATATTTTTACTACAAGAGGAGACTGTACCTGGTAAGTCTGGTAGCTGATGGCCATGCCATATCTGCAGTACATGACGAAATGCTCACAGTTGTACCACAATAAGCTGTAGGTGACTGAGCCCATGAGTTTTTCTGCCCGTCTAGCTATCTCGTCTCCGTCCAGAGGAGGCTCGCTGCACACCTCGTCCATGTGGTTGACCAGAATCTCTGAGCCAAACCCGAAATCAGAAACAGAGTCCACTCTTACGCTTGCAATCTTAGCAATGACCCCCAGCAGCAGGCGGTTATTCGTCACCACCGTGGAGATTGCAGATTTATCCTTGGAAATCACAGGCAGGATGTCCGGTATGAGGTGGGCTACACGGTTGTCACCCAAGTAAATGCCAAAGTGTGTGAATAAGGTCCTGGGGACCTCCAATAGATCACCACGTTTGTACAAAGACAGGTCATATTGTGACTTCTCATCCTCCTTTTTGGAAGAGACAAAGAAAAAGTTGATGAGCTGGTACAGAAACATGATGGCAATGTGCTGAAAAGAGCCTCACACACATTTTATATGAGCTGCAGTTGGGAGGGACCAGATTGGTTAGGAGGATTACTTGTTGGCCAATGTTGCGGTATTATTTTGACATGAACAAAGGAGCTTTCTCTAAGCACAACGCATGTTCAGATTTCTCAAACTCAGCTCTTGTTTCTGTTGTATTAAGGCCAGGCGTCTGATTAAGACGACTAACATGTTCAATAGGTGTTTGCAAGGTCACACAGATTGTGCAATTGTGCCCCAATAAACGTGCTTTGTCATTACATTAATCTCTAATCTCTACATTCGATTCATCGTTATTCAGCACTTTTTTGGATATATATAAAAGATGTGGATATCGCATAGGCTAGTTATAGACATTTGATAAAAAATATAATAACATATTGGCTAAATCCCTTGAAATATATTTGAAATGGAAAGGTTGTAGGTGCATCAAAATCACCAAAATGAAACACTCAGCATTTTAATGAATTTTCTTTAAATGTAACTGCACACTGTGCACACTCATCAGTTTTCCTTCCTACATCTTTTGTCTTGGAGTAATGAACATCTGTCTCGTAGAATCTTAATTTTAAAAAAAATTCTGTAATCATTCTTGTGACATGCAAGACATCCTTTGTCATGTGGACAGATATCTTCTCTACTATGTTGTATTTTGAAGCAAATAGGGGGTCAGATGTACAGTTACTGCAAAAAGACCTTGAGAAACCAAAACAAACCCCTGCGATAGCTAGCTAATGTTAGCATGAGGCAGTCAGCTATCATTCAAGTAAGTAAAATAGTAATCAGATGCACTTGGGGTGTGTGGATGTTAGCTAACTAACCAGACTACCTCGTGTTTGCTAGCTATAAGCTAGTCTGATGACAGTACACTCCTTATAATAGTATTAATCAATGTAGTGACATTCAATTACAGTTGTAAATAACGTAAGTAATACGTACATATCAGAGTTAAAATCATCTTGCAATATCTCTTTGACCGGTGAATATTATTTGATATGTGTGGACTCTATTGTGTAGCAACTGCAACATTTAACATTTAATAAAAAGTAGTTACCATCACTAATACATTTATAAAAAGACCTATGAAGATGCTTTATAATTCACATGCAACAAGGAACATTGATTTTCACCTAAACAAAGAGTTTTCAAGAGAGCTGGAAAAGTTGGCGTGGCCATTTCCTACCAAGGAGTGGTTTTGGTGCAAAATAATAATGCTTGCAATGGATTCAGCGTCCCAAATAACCCCAAATTTGACCCCAAACATGCTATTTAAGGCACATGTAAAAAAAATCAAAAATTTCCAATTTTCAACAAATAGGGTTCCAGGTACCCGAAGTTTCAGCAGCTCTCACGGATTTTGCTACAGGAGTTGAATTTAAATATTTTTATATGTGAAACTAGACACCTTTAGAAACACACTGGTGTAGAAATTGGTTGGTAAGGAATTTATTCCCAGATTGGCCATATATCTGATAAAATTCCCTCACTAAGTTTTTATTCACCTTCCTTGCAATCTATCCATACTCTATAATTACAAAGCCTAGGGGTAGGGTTAGGGGTTAGGGTTTATACCTGTTTTCAAAGTCTCCCAATATAGGATTTTATATCATGAAACCTTATATGACACATAATCAGACTAATTTGAGGCTCTTCTTTCACTTGCATGTGGTTAACAATGTAGAGAAAGACAAAATCATGAAGGCCAACAAGTAAAAATAAATTGTTTATTAAACATTTGTCATATTTACAACATTATATTAAGGACACTACTATAAAATACAAACTATATATACATGAACATATTGTTTAGATTGCATGTTAGCTTTTGTAGTGAGTCAAATGTTAGCCAAATGTATCCCAATCACACCATTCTTATATAAAATAATTTATGACAGGACAAATATAAGGCATGTAGGAAACTATTAAAGCATGAATCAACAACACATTTCACACATTTCCTACACAATACAACCAAAGTATAGGTTCAAACAGACTCATAAAGGCATCACATGACAAGCCAAACCATTCTGAGCAGGTTTCCAGTCAGTGGAAAAAGTTCAGCTCACTTCGTCAGCAAGGCTCATTGAACTGAACCAATTCAACCAGCCATCCACAGAGTAAAAGGGATAAGGATCGTGGGTAATGTAGTTGCCGGTGCCATGCCAAAAGAGACGACAGAGATAAACCCAAGAAGGCTTGTGACAATCACGCTGCGCTGGTCTCTGATGATGGATTTCAGGCACTCGCAGAACTGCAAAGACAAAAAGTATAAAGTTAGTTATGTTCATTCAGTATAACTAACTTTATGCAGAATATTTCTAATGTCATCTGGAGAGTATCACAACTTTTGAACCACTAACATATGCACAGTTTAACCACAGTAACAGCATTCCTCACTGTTCTCACCTGTGACAGGAAGTCAATAACAATTTGGTAAAGCCAGGGTTACACTTTGGCACCACACTTCTACAAACCAGGGAATCTTATGTGTAGATATGTTTGAGGATTTGTAGCCTACCGCTGCTGAAAATTATGAATGAAGTAATCCCCCGCATTATTGAGGTTTGTTACAGTGGCCTAAGAAAACCATCTCAAAACATTTAGTCATCCATGTCTTGTTGCATTCCAGTGTCAGAATTTAGTTTTTAAACCTAATCTTTCTTATGCCTTACACTTCCTTTTAAATGGTCAAAAGTGTTTTCTACTGGTCAGAGAAAACGGGAGGTATTACTCCAGAAGAAGAGTCTTTTGGGGGCTTGTTTTAGCTTTTTGTTCTGGAGGTGATGTGGGACATACAGAAAGGGAAGGGCCAAATGGGGCCAAATACCTCCTCAAGACAAGTTCATACTACTATGGTGAAACTGATTTAAAGACGTCATCTTTTTCTGTTACTGTTTTCTTTACATGACGCTACATTCCAAGGTACAAATATGGAATAGACATCGTTTACATGACGCATGACTGACTGAATCTATAGCGCATACAATAATTTCACAATGTACATGGTCAAGCAGTATAGACATACAATAATTAACATGGACATGGACTGTACCTTGTCTGTTTGACGGCTGGCTGCAGATCCGTACCTACAGTAAGTCACAAAGTGTTCACAGTTATTCCACAGCAGACTGTACTGGATTCTTCCTAGAAGTTTTTCAGCCCTATTTGCCACATCTTCATTGGGGAGCGCTTGATTCTTCATCATCTTATCCATATGGTTCACCAGTATATTAGAGCCGTACGCAAAGTCCTCTAGCGTGTCCACGCGCACCGTGGCACACCTGTACATGCAGCCAAGGATGAGCCTCTTGTTCGTGATAACGGAGCTGATGAGCTTCTGGTCGCTTGTGAGCACAGGCAGAATGTCAGGGATCAGGTGAGCGACTCTATTATCACCCAAATAAATTCCGTAGTGGGTGAAGAGGGTTCTAGGGACCTCCAGCAGGTCCCCCCTCCGGATTACATGTGGTGGGCAGCGATGCTCGTGCCTCGGCCGGTCCTCATCCTCAGACCAGCTGGACTCAAAAAGATTGAATTTGGAGAGAAGGGAGATTCTCTGCACCAGGAATGTCAACAGCTGCAGCATCGTGAGAGATTGTACACAAACTATGTGAACGTGAGTGAAATGAGCCTTTTTATCCTCACTGGCACGAGAAATAAGCTCCAAGGAAATCCCGGAAACACGTTTGGACACGAGTCACTATGTGCACGTGTGCGTTCTCCCTCATTGGCCTCCTCAGCATCTGGATTTTTTTTTCCTCGTGCATTTTTCTCCTGCCAGAGGATCAGCTTAACACTTAAATGTTAAGGTTAATGTTAATGTAAACAATTGTGTAGCAGAGAGGAGAGTTTTGAAGAAGGCGTTTTATTTGGTTCTTATAGTGCATTAGTGCGGGATGAAAATATTACGACATAATCATCCCTTAATTAAGTAAGTGAATTAAAGTTTGGGTTTATGATTATCCAGAGTTTGTTCTTGTGCAATAGCTGCTTTATGTGTTTTGATCAATTTCCCTGACTTTAAAGCTACTGTTCCTGGTGATATCAGTCATACTGTGGCAACAATACAACTGGAAGTGTGTCTTTTTAAAGTGCTCAGTTTTCTTCCTCCAATTAAAACTCAAAAGATCAATGAAAAAAAGGCTATAACTTTTGCAAATCACATCACAGAATCAGGGTTAAGCTATACTTAAGCTGTACTAATTTATATTTGTATTAACAACAAAATAACATCTTGCATTATGAACAATGTCATCAGTGTTCAATTCCGACAGAGCACCCAGCTCTGTATTCTCAGAAGTTGTGGTGAAGACCAAAACCAGAGCTGACAAAGAGTCAAGCTTGTTCTAATAATTAGGTCAGGAGGTCAATTAATGCAAATGTTTCAATAGTGCAAAGCCTGTTCAATAAATTGTGTATTGTAATTCAAAATAAACACAACATGTTCCCTAAAAGAATAAGAACTTTTACTCTCATTTGTGCTTTTTATTCATTTGCTGAACGGTTTTAAAGGTTGTTTTGTTGGGAATTTTCCAGCTTTTCGTTACCCTTTTGGTGATTTCAAACTAACTTCTTATTGTTAAGCTGATTACCCCTCGTTCAAATGATCAAATTTGTACATTTAACTGAAACAATTTCAAATGAAAACTTGTTCCCACATTCATAATTTATAAGCAAAAAACTATCAATTTTATCAAACTCTCTTATCACTATTCGACAATTGCATGTTCCAAAAATGCCACATTGCAAATCTTACATGAATGAACCATCATACCAGTTAATAAAAACAACTTTTGCTCACACTTTTTTGGACTCAAAACAAACTACTAGTAAGACTATTAAGCTGATTAACCTACAGACAATGAGTGTGTGTGATGGACTTTGTTGGCTAATCTGTTCTGTCCCATCATCAATCCGGGATCAGTTTCCAGGGAAGAAAAGAGCTGTGCTCCTCAGAAGAACCATATGATGAG